CAGTCGCGACCATCTACACGTTGATACTTTTAGCACGGACTCGGGAGTAAAGGAATATACTCTCACAGTTGTTATTGCATTATCCGCGGTATGTTCTGCATACAGATTCTCATTCTTGAATGGAATGATGAGTGTTCCGGTGAAGCGCTCCATGGGACAATCAGGATCGTCGTCATCAACATCATCATCCACGGTTAACGCGGTGATAACAACTTCTCCAATCGTATGACCTTTGTAGACACTGTCACAAATCAATGGTGCTGCGTAACATGAGATCGAAAAAAAACTGACCGTCTTCTCACATCGGTGATCTTGCCCATGAACAACACTCTTGCAGAGCTGGAGCCACCTACGGCGTCAACAAGAATTGATCCAATCCGAGACAAACTTGATTGTTTGCGAGCCAATGCGATAGCTCGTCCGATGCGCCAGCTTAACGATATTGTGTTCTTAATCATAGCATTATCCACATAATCGGCTTTCAGAGGGCAGCTGGCCTGTCCTACGTGTGTCCTAATGAACACGAGGCACCACATAATCATCACGCATAGTACTCGCGACACATGTCACCACTCACCCCATTTCAACACATGCCGCTCGTAAGGAAGCATCGACGTCAATGTCACGTTTGGCCTTTGTCATAAACTGTAGATAGTTCGTCGATTTTGACTGAAAACGTGAGAGGGACAGATACCATAACGTTCCCATCTCCACTGGATATAGCGCTCGGGAGCATCTTGACCCCAGTGCCGCTAAAGTCGTAGACATTGGCCGTGGTTTGATGCCACTTTCAAAACCGTAAATTCGGACCACACATCCAAGAATGATACTGCTCACGGTGGGGTATGCACGGCCCTGTACATAGGTGATGATTTAGACAACGAACTACCTGCTTGTTGCTACATACCATGAAGTCCCCATCTATGCATGGTATATCGGTGTATTTCGTCGATCCCAGAATCATCTACAGCAATGTCAATATTTGTCTTCGCTCGACGAACTGAAACATCATACGTTGATCATACCGTTCGCGCCCCCGATCTCTATCGCACAAAGCGCTTCTGGTTTCGCAATCTAGAAGTATATCGTTAGAGCACTACAATAGTCGGACCAGCGAAGATTACATTACCCCTATCAAGGACCACAGCTCCGCACTAGCCTCTTGATACCTAATGACCAAAACAATCAGGTATCACCTTTCATTTATGCAGCGGAAACACCAACTCGTTGCCAAGTAGTCTCTCAGAAGACACCTCTGGGCTACCCATGCCTCCACCCCATCCAACCAGTGCATTGGATGTAAGTGACGAAAAGTCAATCACTCGGATTGTTTCACCTGACCGTACGAGTTCTCTCAGCTCCAGGAAAGTATGCAAGGGAGACCCGCCACCGCCGCATCCCAATACATAGCAGCCATCTGCAATCCACTCCAGATCAACCTCGGACAAGAGCCATTCTCTCTTTTCTATCCTTGGCTCGTACTCCAAGATGTCACTCGCAGAACGCATGACCGGCGCCACAACGGCAGAGGCGGCGGCGGATGCTACCATTTGTGGCCGGGAGGCGGTCTCCCCGGTAGAAGCTTCAACGTGCAGAGGATCATCGACCTCTAGCCAACTTGGACTAGCGACGCCACTCCAGTCTCCGGCAGCCTTGACATAAAAACGGCAACGGCCGCTGGTATAGGCGATCGGAATGACCTCGCTTTCCACTATGGCGACACGGTGCGGATCTGCTCCGGAAGCGATTGCTCGAGCGATAGCCCTGGCTTCGACATCAGCGCGAACTTGTACGATGGTTCTTGTGGATGTGTCTTCGAAGGAATCAATGATGCCTGATATCTTCAGATCGAGATTGAGTATCAATGGGGAGGAGAAGGTCATTTCTTCATTACCTGGGCAATGGCAGCGCCAACAGCATTCGCGACGTCGAAGTGAGGGAATCTGTGAACCCGGCTGATGCCCGCAAGAACATCTGGAGCAAGGATGGACCCTCCGCCGACCAGGTAGACTGGGATATATTGGGAAGATGTTTTCATGGCATCAAGGTAGTTCTGGAGCATCTTCTTGATAGCACTTTGAGCGCCTTCGATGATCGACTGCCCAATTCCGGAAACAAGGACTTTCGTCTCCAATGTTTGAAGCGCGACCTGCTGCAACAACCACGTCGGTAGCGGTCAGTGTGGAGCCACCAAACACTAGAGATTCAGAGGTGATCCGATGGCCTACAGAATTAGGACCAACAGTGACCTTCTTTGTGACTGGGTCCTCTCGGACAACGGAACCCCCGCCAAGGCCAATACTAGAGCATAGATAATCAATTTGCTATGAATGCTTAACACACTGTCAACACCAGCACCTGGTAACATGTGGCATGGAGAAGTTCAATAAAACCCCACAGAACTCGTGATGAGCGGCGGCTTGGCGAGGGAACCCACTAGGTCTAATGGGTTGTCAAGCAAAATTAGCATGGTTGCTAAAACCTCTAAGCTTTGTTCACGAACAGCAACATTCCGATGTCTGTCTAGAATAAGACAACAGTGAGCCTGTTGCCACGAAGCTGAAGGTTGTCTCAGCGACACACCGTTGTGCCACCAATATCAACTACTAATGCGGATTGCTTTGAGATGCCTGACTCCAGTGCGGCCAAGAATGCGGCGCCGCGCATGGAATTCGTTGGGCCGGACGAACTTCGAGGAAAATTATCAGATTATGAGAACCCTTGTCATCGAGACCTCTTCGAGAGAAACACGCACAAGGTTCGAATAGGAAGACGCGCAGCTTGTGCGCAGCTGAGCAAGGTGCCATCATTGCTCGTGATGAAAACGGAGCACTTCAGCTCGAGTGCCTTGGCTGCCTTCTCGAAACCTATTACCGTCTTCTTGGCGTATCGCAATAATGCAGCATTCAGGATAGATGCGTTTTCGCGCTCCAGCAGCCCGATGGCGGCAACGTCCTTGGAGCATACGACGTCCATTCCTGGAATGCGCTTGCGTACAATCGCTGCGACTGTTTCCTCCTGTTGGATCTCAAAGTCGATGGGAGCGAACACCGAGGACACGACGACTGCATGTATGCCCTGGAAATCATCTCAGCCGCATCCAACGTGCCCATCATCGCTTCCGTACCTGGCGGTTGATTTCGTCGCAGGCGGATTCGACTTGCGCAACGACAACAGAAGCAATCTCACTTCCGTCAATTTGCAGGCCTCCTGAGAGCAGGAAGTGGGGACCTTCGAGTACTGCAGGAAGTGGATGTCAGTATAGGACGTCATCGCACGTTCCACAGCAGCAACTCACGATCTCGCAGCTCGTGCGGAAAGCCTACGAATGGCGGTGTTCCATGCGTAAAAGGGCCACACAGGCGAATGACCGCGACTCTGTCCAAACGCCGAGGATCTCTTTCTACCAATGCATTTACAAAGTGCTAGGATGTACGCGAATCAGGACGCAAGTTGGTGCGTGTACGAAGCGAATCTTACTGTCGTGCCGATACAAAGCGCTTGAATGTTGGACTTGCTCTGAGCTCGTGTCAACACGGACTCGATGGCGTTTTGGATTCCCAAAGTAACGTCCGCTGTAGTGAGGTGTTTTGCTGATGCAAGAACCTGCCCTCTTCGCGAACCCTCTGACAGATCGAGGAGAACTGCATCGCTGGTGAACGATTGTCGAGTCCGCGGAGTCATGCATATTCAAATCAGGTACGCACGTATTTGTTCCTCCTACGTCAACACCTAAGCGTAGGATGGGGTGGACTGAACTCATTTATGGTCGAAGGACTGCTGGTATCGTCTTAGACAGACAAAAGGTAGGTGGCTATGATAAGGATAACCAAGATGGGGACCGAAGCAACCGTGGTGCTTTGGGCATAACCAAATTAACAGATAAGCGAAATCGAGGTTCGATTCGTATCGAGCGCTAAGTAGGAGCTATAAGTAGTCGTGTTACTTCAACAATAGCTTGGGCGATTGCGCATGAATGATTTTCCTGACCAGCACCGCCAGGTCATCGAACCCGCCTACATAAAGACATTGAGTGAAATCTGGAATTTGTGTGATCATTACAATCGTATCGGTCAACCGCACCAGATAACACATGCGCTACCACAGAAAGAAAGAACTCACCCGGGCCAACGACTATGACAAACGGTTCACGTGAATATCAGATGACTGCTTGCTATTATTGGTTCGGATATTCCTCGGGTGCAGTACTCGCAATTCGGGTCTTACAGCTACTAGCTTTCATGTCGATGCAGACTAGTTTTTTTTTCGCCTTACCGCTTCTAGATTCACCTGTGGAACTGGACTAACAAAAGGGCCCCGCTTATTACGATACTTGGTCGGGCGAAATACCTTTGAATGGCATTGAGGGCGCTCTGCCTGGATATCGTGTCACCGCCGCATGCGCCCTCCGGCTGTCAAACAGCAATAGGTCATTGTCTGTCCACATGTTGCAGCTGCTTTATGCACATATTGAGGGAGGTTGTCGGAACCAGCGAACTTCGTGTTCCGCCCGAACAGTATCGTAAACTAGACCCTGTTGTTTGTCCAGCTCTAAAAGTAATTATAGAAATGGAATCTGGCCCACCGATATGAAAGTAGCTGGAAGGGGAGGGCATCGAGAGACGTGCAAACAGCGACGAGGAACTCTCAGCTACATAACGGTGTCATTTGCATTCATTTTAGGACGAACGGCGGAGTAAGAGGGGACAATTACAGCTAACCAAATATTGTGATTAAGTCGATGCTGCAGCCTGTGATGGATCAGAGAATTGGATTGATAGCAGTCAATGCTGATTCGGGTGAAGTGCAAGCATTTAGCAGGTTGACCCGAAGCCTCTTGGAGGGTCAGTGAGAACATCGCGAAGCTTAACCGAAAACTACGAGTAACGCCGACACATCAATTAAATCACGAAATCATAAACCGAGTAAAGACCCGTGTGATATATATTCCAATTCGATACGAGTTAGTTCGATTAGCACATGTTGGTTTTGGCGGCCAAGCCCGCGTCGCGTTTCTTGAGACCAACGTTCATTCATCAAGACATTGCACCATTTTGATCGTCGACGGCCTGCGCAGGCATGGCCAGTCTATCAGATGACGGTCTAGCAGAAGTCCTATCAAACATGCCAGATTTCTCGGCACCAGCCTTTTCTTCCGCAGGCCAACGCAAGTTTCGGCTCCAACTGCTCCTCGATAACAAGGAAAAGCAACTACAGCAGGCTGGAACTCTCGGTCAGCGGGTTCTTGCACAGCAGATAGAGCTCGAAGAGAAGATAAGACAACTCCAGGAATTTGATGCAGAACGTACAGAAGACGAGGAACTAGATACTGACGCGCGCGAACGCTATCGCGAACTAGCAGAGACCTATTGCTGCTTGGGACGCAGAGAACGCCCAGCTATCTAGTGCTTTTGGCCAAAAAGTGAGTCCTTCAATTCAAAATTCCAGACAAGCGCCTATCGTTGGTCAATGCCACATGCACCCTGCCTCGCCTATGAAATACATAATGCATCATGCACTAACGTGTAATCTACTTATTTTCAGCGTCCTCCTACCCAGCAATCATCTCCGACCCTACCAATCAACGATCTTCCTCGAGAGGAGCCTGAGCGCTCCAAAGCCTCAGCTTCATCTGCTGCCCAGTCTCGTCGTGCCAAAAATGCTGCCCATCGAGCAGACGATGTCGGCAAGTTTCTCTCATTCTGTTTGCTTTTGCTTTCACGGCTCACTGTTTCTTCAGAATTTGCGTTCGAGATCGGAAGCGGACTGCTTACCGAAGTGCGACGGCTCCAGAGCCTTCTCGGCGAGCGTGACAAGGCCATCCAAGACATGAAGGAGGAGAAGGATGACCTTGAAAAGACCGTCGAGTCTCTACGTACCGCGCTTCGATCGCAAGAACAGAGCTCAGGTAGGTCTTCTAGTATTCCTTTACCTCGTGAAACTTACTTGGCGCAGACAAGTTCAAAGAAGAAAACTGGAACCTCGAAGTTACTCTCCAAGAAGTCCGTACCCAGTATTCAGACTCGCAGTCCACAATCGTGCGCATCGAAGGCGAGCACAAGCGGGTTACGAAACAGCTCAACAACACTCGAGAAGCAGCAGACCAGTACAAAAACGAATTACAGCGTGTCCAAACTGCATACGATGATATGAAAGCTAAGCACGAGACAGACGTGGCGCAGGCGCGTAAGCATGCTGCGGGTTTACAGCGCGACAAGTCAGACTTGCAGTCCGCGCTTGATGTACTGAGGGCGGAGGTAGAGAAATCAAGCCGTCGCCTCGGTCCACGATTCGGGAGTCCACTCACGCCTGGTGCAAGCCAGGATAAAGAGTACTCGACCCCTGCTGCAGAGGATGATGATGTCTTTACCACAGCCAGTACCAACAACAGGCGGAAAATGGACAGTTCGGCTGTGTTCCAGCCTGACGCATTCGAAGATCTTGTAGACATTTCCCCTGACCCGTCACCATCACGCCCATTCCATGCGAGCAACCACCCCAATAACGAGATCGAGGCCCTTCAGCAGCGGCTTGCCCACGCCCAGAGGCAGATCAGCACCCTCAAGGGCAGTTTGCATCGCGAGAAGGAGATGCGAATGGAATATAAGCGCAAACTAGAGTCTTCCTCTGGGTATGTACATGCTGAAAACGAGCCTCCAGAAGATGAGACGAATGACGATGACGAGACTGAGACTAAACATCCTCGCCGGCTGACACCATACCGTTCCGGTGGTGGCAGAGCCAGAGGCAGGAGAGGCAGAGGAAGGTCTTCTCTTGTTACCAGGCTCGGTATGGCAGCGCAAAGCCCCAGTACTACATCTGATTACAATGCCTCTCCTCCACCACCCATACCGCTTCTCCCCGACTTCGCCGATGATATTCTTTCCGACGAGGGTAACGCAGAGGGCGAGCCGGAAGAGCAAAACCTTGACCCCTTACCTTCTCCTTCCTCAAAGCGAACAAGCGTTGATGGTATGGACCCAGTGTTTGCAAATGTCCTCCGCAAGTCTGCGTCCTACAGCGCATTCCCAAGCCAATCTAGCCCGCTTCGCCATTCCCTGCTGGCTCGCTCCTCCCCTCGCGGCGTTGGGCGTGGTGGAGCCCCACCAAGACGCGCTCGTGGCGGTGCTGCTTTCCAGGAGGCCAGACCGGCGTCCCTTGTTGGGGAACCTGAGGCTTTATCTGCAGAGCTCGGTATTACGTCTGTTGCTGAAGATGTTGAAGTCAAGGTCACCGCTGAAATGGCATGTCAGACCGACTTCGAGGACGTGACGGTGCTCGTACCGTCGCCCTCTTCCCCAGCGAATGACACGGGTGTGCAAGTCGAGCAAGCCCTTGAACCTGTACCAGCATCTCCCACCACTTCTGAAATGTCGTGCCAGACTGACGAGTTCTTTGTGGTGCATATGGAAACAGCTGTGCAGCACGAGCCTACTTCTCCTGTTGCAGCCCGCGCAAGCTTCTACCAAATGCAGCCCCCCGATCGCGTTTTCGTCGCACGGAGCTCGATGAGGCGTACGACGCTTACGCAGTCTGATTTCTCTCGTTCATCAGAGGGCGACAACACCCTACGCGGTGGCATCCCCGGTGAAGCTAACGGCCGGCGGCCCATTCCGGGTGGTTTCTCCTCTGAGGAGGAGAGTGACATCGATGTTGATATGGACGACGGAGCGACGGAGACCGGTATAGAAACAGACACAGATGTGGACGATTACCACGACGCGCGGGGGAGTCTTGCTACAGAGTCACGGGAGGACTTCCACTCTGTGTTGACGATGACAGACAACGACTTTTCGGAGAGTGATGACGAGAGTGTCAAGGCGCTTGGAAACTCAAGGCGGTCGTCAGTATCGTCTACGACACAACATCGGGAGTTCCTCTATCGTGACACAGCTACCTATGAGGAGAAGGGCGTTGGTATGGATAGCGTTGAAGAGCCGAAGGTCATCGAGGTTATCAAGGAAGTGGAAGTCATCAGAGAGGTAGAAGTTATCAAAGAGGTAGAAGTCATCAAAGAGGTAGAAGTCATCAAAGAGGTGGAAGTCATCAAGGAAGTCGAGGTGCCTGTTGAAGTCATCAGGGAGGTGGAGGTCATCAAAGAGGTCCCGGTAGAGGTCATCAAGGAGATCGAGATCATCAAGGAGGTTATCAAGGAGGTTCCAATCGAAATCATCAAAGAAGTACCTGTGGAAGTCATCAAGGAGGTCCGACAACCAGTTGAAGTCTTGAAGGCAGTCGAAGTGGCCAAGATGGTAGCCGAGCCCTCTAAGCCAGAGCTGAAGGAAATGTCTGTTCAAACGGATACATTTACTGCTTCACCCGTTATTGCAAGTTGGCAAGACACCTCTGCGTCATCTGTGACCCCGACTCCCACCCCCGCACCTTCTGCCCCTGTGTCCCCCGCTCTCTTCCGAGTGGGCGCAGCAGTACAACAGTTCCAGTTTGTTCCTGCACCTGCCATTGCAGCACCTGCTCCTCCTTCCCCCTCACCTAATCGTGACTCTAGTCTCAGTACCACAAGCTTCGGCATCATTCGCTCTATTACCTCTAATACAGACCATCGGCAGTCAGTTGAGTCTGCAGTCTCTTCTGGCGCTGACGATGGAACTCGTCGTTCAAGGACCGCCTCTGTTGTGCCCTCTATTGTAGACAAAACTCGTCCCCCTATGATGGCCTTGCCGCCCCCACCTCGCCAACCGCCTCCATCCGGCACTATGCCACCACCCCCTTTTATCCCGGAACGGAGAATAGCTACTACGTCATCGACATCGGACGCGCCGCCACCTCGTCCATCCTCCCCCCCACCTCCAGAACTCGTACAGCGCGCCACCACACCGACTTTTGGCACAATGCTCTCTGTACATGGCAGGGGGAGTGCTTATGGTCCAAGGCAGCATGGCTCGAGCATGCCCCCGCCTCAATCAAATTTACGGCAGCCGCCATCCACAAGCAGCTTCCGGTCTGCTGCCAATGCTGCGGCGTATGCACAAAACTCAGTTCCACCGTCTGGCTTACCATCATGGGGCGTGCGCGAGCAACAAAGGAGTCAGATGTCGAGCACATCCCTGGCATCGGATAGAAGCGCGCTTTCACCACGGTCGTCCATGTCTTCGGACCACAATGTCTTCTTAAACCGCGCACCCGGTGTCAGCGTCCCCATCAACCCTGGCAAGAATGTCGAACAGTCCAACGATAACAGACATAGTATGTCCACAGATCCTGCTGTCATCCATGCGATTACCCAGACCATGATCGGCGAGTTCTTGTACAAATATACCCGGCGCACCATTGGCAAAGGCTATGGAGAGAAGAGACACAAGCGGTTCTTCTGGGTGCATCCGTATACCAAGACTTTGTACTGGAGCTCTGCTGACCCTGGATCATCAAACGTCTCAGAATCGAGTGCTAAGAGCGGTGAGTGAATTGATGTGATATTCTCTGACGTTGAATTGATGGTTTGTGTGGCCACAGCTTATATCGAAGGTGTTCGCTCTGTTTTAGATCCCAATCCCATGCCTCCTGGTTTATACCAGTACAGCGTCGTGATATCCACAGCTCAGAGAGAAATGAAGATCACTGCTCCTACCAAGGAGCGCCATGACATTTGGCTCAATGTTCGTCGTTCTCATATTACTTTTGGGTGAACGCTTACATCTGTCTAGGCTTTGAAATACCTGCTTGCTCGTCCCAGCCCTCCGATAACACCCTCAGTCAGTCAGAATGAAAATACGGCCGCCATGAGTCCCATGTCTCAAAGCGCAGAGCTCACAGATGATGATCACCGTCATTTGATTGATACAAGTCCCAAAAGTCAACGAAGTGGCCACAGCAGCCAGAACGGTGGTACCTTCAACACCACGCCGCGGGGCAGCCGGAGTAGATCACAGATCTCTGTTCGAGGGTCTGTAGGTAAAAGATCTGGAACGCCAGCCGCAGAATACCTCCGATGGGCAGCGCCCGAGAGCCCTTACAGCCCTGCGAAGTCCTTCGAACGAGTAATGGGTCATGGCCATGACGATGACGACCTTGAGTTTGAACTCCATGGCCAATCTCAGTCGGACGACGGGTTCGAAGGCTTGGAAAATGTGCGCGCCTGTTGTGATGGACGTCATACTGTCGGTCACTCTGGTCATCACCACCACACCCACAATGGTGACCACCTCCTTGAAGTTGGCGCTCCCGCACGGCCAGTGTCTCCTGCGTGGTCGCTTCGATCACGAACGGGGAGTACACACTCTCATGATGCGGGCGGCTTGTTTTCATGGGGCCGAGGGGACGATGGGAAGCTTCGCTTTGGCTCTCGTCGATCTACAAAGACTGTACCTAACGCTGTTGGTGATCGGTAGTCGGGCGAACAACGCCCGTTTCCTCGCTTTTGCCTTGTCTATCTCTGCTTTTCGCGCACAATGTCTCGCTTTCTCGCAGCCTATCCTCCCTGATAATGGTCTTCGCTATATCATGATATAAATCCCTTATATTTTGTCACTTTTTTTTCGTTCGTGTATGCATTATTTCTTTTTTTTTTGCAAAGTTACCCAATACTCCTGAGAACCGAACCGCTCCTTGTATCTCACCGGAATGCTATCTAACATACCACACTCCTTTATTCAATTCAATATGATCCATCATTCACTGAGTAAGTTCAAATGATCAAATCTCGTGTATAGTAAGTTGTATCTGGTCCGTGGCTGCTCAAACCACTACTTCGTCGACTTTAGATCGGTGTATACAAAAACCCTGGCATGTAGTGAGTTTGTGTACGAAGAGCGAAAAGTTGGAAGTAAATGCAACGTACCGGTGTCACCCATTCTCTATTGCAGCTGCAGCATACGCCAGCCCAGTCATAGTTGCCGAGCTTAGCACTGCATTTCGGGCAAATAATCTTCCCTGCTAATTGGGCACTCTCTAGAAAAGGTTCCATCCATTTCATCTGTAAGGTCATGATTAGTTGTGGATCGACGACAGACAAAGAAATACTTGCCGGTTCGACAAAATACCCAGAACACTTGGGGTTCATGAGGATCGGTGGACTAACCACCGATTTTATCCCCGTCATACTCAACGACGGAGGCGTGCGCAGCGCCGCGAGTTTCGGATGAGAATGCAACTCAGCTGCCAGGTCTAACGGAGGCTGCGGCGGTCCGCCAGTCTTCGATGTATCCTGGCTATCTTGTACAGGCGACAGCACACGCACCGTCTCGGATTGTGTGGCCGTCCCTGTTGATGGGCCTTCATCGGTGGCGACAGATGCATCGAGTGTATCTGATAGGTCCTTCCCAAGGCCTTCCATTGACATTGAGAGTGATCGCGAGGACTTCACGTCAACTCTAAGGGGAGGCAAATCGCCCGTGTGCCCATTCTTGAGATCATCTGACTCGTGATCATCCTCCGTGTCGAGTGCTGACATTGAGAGTGCTGACATTGAAAGCGATGACATTGAGAACGATTCCATCAGCGCCCGCGCGCCGAGGCTCATGGACGGTCGCCGCGAGGACGTGCCGCGGTCATTTGCAGACGGGCGCCTCGACGTGGCAGGCGATAGTGAGGGCAGAGCGGGAGTCGGTGGGCCTAGTTGCCCGTGATCGAGCATGTGCTCGCGGGTCGCTAGCTCTTGCCTACGAAAGGTGGAGTGTATGGATTGGCACTGGGAACGTGACATAATCTGATGACTTACCTGCACATCTTGCATCGTATTCGACGGCTTGGCACGATCATCGGTGTGTTGGGTACAGAATCAGATGGTGTTCGGGGATGCTTGGCAAACATTGCATTCTCTGGAATCGTCCCATCTCCATCTATGATTCAATCGATCAGCACTGATCTTGAGTGTGAAGCATTGATTATCATGGGCAATGCAGAAGGCAGACTTACTCATAACATCCTCCACTGTTCGTTCCAGGTAGAACATGCGGGTTGCCTTATCACGCCGCGTGAACTTGTATGACGCTCGGTGAAACACCTTCAGTTGTTCCATAAATCCCTCATTTGGCCTGCAGAAGCATCCTTATCTGGGTAATTTAGGAACGAGATAAAGGAACTTACTCAACGATGGGCCTCACCCTCCTTATCATGTCTACAGCGCTTTCCGGGTCAAGCTTCAGCGAAAACATGAGGTATGCTGCGACGATTGTTGCGCTCCTGCCTGTGATCGGATGTTAAAAATTGATCCGCAAGCAGACTAGCGGAAGAAAGGATGATGTTAGTGGGCTAAGCTTGAACGTACTGATTCCAGCCATGCAGTGTACGAGTACACCACGACCCTTGTCGAGCTCGTTCTGGATAAATGATATTGACGGCAAAAAGTGCACGAGGACATCTTCATTTGCACTATCGTCAATGTTGATTTGGTACTTGTTAATTGTCTAGAGGTATCTGTATCAGCATCTGCCTCGGATCCTCTTTCGTACATATACTAGAGCAAAGGACTTGAAGCGCCAGTGGTACGCACCGCATTAATGGTAACTTTGCCCCGCATCGCTGTTACGATGCTGAAGATGTTTCTCTCCTTCAATCCCTTGATATCCAAAGCGCTCTGGAGATCTCCAATCCAGACTCCTGGTACAACTTGATCCATGGTCACCAATGGTAGATAAATGAGGTAGGCTGTGTAGTGATTGAATCCGCTCAAATTTTCCTGTTAAGACTAGGTATATTATTAGTACTTCGCCGGCGGGGACTCGACCAAGGTTATCATATGCCAACGATGAGGCGAGTGTAAATAATTCAGCAGTCAACTAGGGAACGCAAATTCAAAGCAGATGAATGAACCACCAATGATTATTCGTCGTAAAATGTCGGAATGGCACTGCTACCAAGTGATCGAGCAGCACTAGTAATTGTTCTAAGTTAAGGCATTGCTGAGCGGGCTTAGAAATGGCAGCTGTGACCAACTGTGACAAAAGCGTTACTTGACGGGCGACGACTCAGCCGGGAGGGATAGTATCGTTCAGAACGTTCACCATTCAATATCCATGCCACCCAAAACAGCCGGAAGACTCAGAACAAAACCCCTATGATTTACTTGAAATCTCACAGGAGGCTACAGAAGCCGAGATCAGGACAGCCTATCGAACCCGCTCACTCAAAGTTCATCCAGACAGAGTACGTTTATTCGTTCTAAGATCGAAAAGTCTGAGACTAAATTGATGTTGTTGTTGCAGAACAGAAATGATCCTAATGCAGGTGCGTACTTAGCTATGTTGAAAATGTAGCTAACAAATGAATGTAGCCCAGAAATTCCATGCATTGACGACCGCTTCCGCCCTCCTCCTTGATCCGCTTCGCCGTCTCGCGCTCGATGCGCAACTTCGTCTGCAAGCCGCCAAGAAGCAGCGCTTCGCGTCTTACGACAATAAGCGTAAGGCGATGGTCTCTGAGTTGGAGGAGCGGGAGAAAGAGTTCAAGAAGGCGCGAATGGCGAAGGAGCAGGAGAGAACTGCGAGGGAGAGTGAAAACACAAGGATTAGTGAGGAGGGGCGGCGAATGCGGGAGCAGAGGGAGAAGGAGCTCGAACTGCAGGAATTGGAACATCAATGTGCGAGGACGAAACCCGGCTCAAATGGAACTGTCGAAGAAGATCCCCTCGCTCCGCCGCCTCCCAGCGATTTGGATACAACAGTCCGTATCAAATATGCTCTCTCATCATATCCTGCACTTTCTACAGCATCCGCGCTCACCACCCACCTTCGACGGTATGGTGAGATTGATGAAGGGACGGCGGTGATGTCGCAGAAAACCAAGAAGTCGAAAAAGTCCAAGGGACTTGTAGACGGCGAGATGATAGTGACCGCACTGGTGTCATTCAACCAGTTGGGCGCTGCATTCGCTGTGGTATCGAGCGCCGAATCGCTGAAAGAGCGGGGCATGGACGTGGCATGGGCAGGCGGATCTGAGCCTCCAATCCTAGGCTGGCTCCGCAAACGCGGAGCACTCGGAGGACCCGCGGCCAATCGTGCAGAGCCGTTCCCGACAAAGCCTACTCCAGAGGGGACGACATTCGGTTCGTTTCCCTCGAGTTTTGTAAGTCTGATTCACTCAATCTATTCGAATCACTGATTCTCCTGTTTGGCAAGTCTGACGTACCGCCGCCGCTGCCGCCACCTCCTGCTGCAAAGGCGAGGATAGACTATGAGTCGTTGACGCTCCTCCGTATGCGTGAAGCTGAGCGTGCACGCTTAGAGAAGGAGATACTGGAAGCAGAGGCTGCTGAGGGCGGCTAAGTTCTCCGTGATGATTAATTAGTACATGCTACGTATGAGTCGGATCAGTGCGGCTCGTTGCATTGTAATGCCAACGTTCTATCCACTGATCGCAGTCATGGCGCCGCTGATGACATAGCTCTAGCATATTCAGGCCGAACCGATGGTTTCCAAAAAACGACTCGACCAATTGCAAGAGTCGAAGGAGGCACTTGCTGGACGGACGAACCGCTGGTCTTTCTTCCCAGTCAAATGTCAGCGCTCTGTATACCTCTTGTCTTTATCAAACTGACACTATTAGAGCGTCGATGGTTGCCATTGGGAGATCTTGACGTGCGTCCTGAAGTAGAAGTTATTTAATTTGTCGTGAAAGCTGTACTGTGGTACAGGATCGTGGCGAGCGAGCGAACACGTTCTCAACCAAATGACATTTGTAGCCATTACATGCCCGGCAAGTAACTAGAGATCCGTATACGTAAATCTGTTGGCCACAATTGTTTACAGCCCTGGCGTGTTGGACTCGTGCGAGCGATTATCTTTTTAGGTGATTTGAAATATTGAATTTCAAGTTTCGCCACCAACGTAGTTAGCCCAGCTGTGGCCACCCATCGTGTTGAAGAGCTAGTGCATCTTGATTTCTTGTCAAGAGCGTCTAAATAGACTAAATTAGATAGTGGTTCACTACACTGGCTCAGCAGGCCAACTCAGTTCGTGTACGGCAAATATCGTGTGGAAGGGGCGTTCATCGAAAGCCATAAGTTGTTATCATGTCTACAGCGCTTTCCGGGTCAAGCTTCAGCGAGTACATGAAGTATGTTGCGACGATTGTTGCGCTCCTGCCTGTGTAATCGGATGTCAAAAATTGATCCGCAAGCAGACTAGCGGAAGAAAGGATGATGTTAGTTGGCTAAGCTTGAACGTACTGATTCCAGCCATGCAGTGTACGAGTACACCACGACCCTTGTCGAGCTCGTTCTGGATAAATGATATTGATGGCAAAAAGTGCACGAGGACATCTTCATTTGCACTATCGTCAATGTTGATTTGGTACTTGTTAATTGTCTAGAGGTATCTGTATCAGCATCTGCCTCAGATCCTCTTTCGTACATATACTAGAGCAAAGGACTTGAAGCGCCAGTGGTACTACGCACCGCATTAATGGTAACTTTGCCCCGCATCGCTGTTACAATGCTGAATATGTTTCTCTCCTTCAATCCCTTGATATCCAAAGCGCTCTGGAGATCTCCAATCTATACTCCTGGTACAACTTGATCCATGGTCACCAATGGTAGATTATAAATGAGGTAGGCTGTGTAGTGATTGAATCCGCTCAGATTTTCCTGTTATGACTATTAGGTATATTATTAGTACTTCGCCGGCGAGGACTCGACCAAGGTTATCATATGCCAATGATGAGGCGAGTGTGAATAATTCTGCGGTCAACTAGGGAACGCGAAGTCAGATCAAATGAATGAACCACCAATGATTATTCGTCGTAAAATGTCGGAATGGCACTGCTACCAAGTGATCGAGCAGTAAATTGAAGGGGTCGAGCCCAAATACATGCAAATAAGTACTTGATCCGGAAAATTCATTGTCAATGCTTTTGTCCGGGATTAATACAATGCACGATTGTATCAGCGTACAATGTATCGCTGTATATGTTCAGCCTTATTGCCCCGTATAAATATCAAACATCCATTCTTCTCTGAGCATTTGACGTTTCTCATCTGTTTCGTCTCAGTCCATACTACTCTTTGATCCTCTACCTTTCAAATTCGATACCCAAGCAGGTCTTGGGGAACCCTGGTGGACACTTCAGCTAGCTGAACATTTTATTGCTTCGCTCTCCAAGTTTTTGTTCTCATATTTTCCCCCCCATGTCTGCATCTGTTCGTCCTACACTTCCCCCGCTTCATACACTTAATCTTCCTCGTGGAGAGATTCGACATCCCCGTATCGATGCAAAATTGAAACCCCAGGTTAGTTTGGACTTATGATATACAACTTTTATTGAAAGCGGGGTAATTTTTAGATTCCAAGGCTGCACGTGCCCAGCAGTCAATATTCATGCCAGAACCGTCGGGTTTCTATCTCATCCTCGACGTCTTCTCGCACTCCTTCTCCCACCCCTTCGCCCCCCTCATCTTCGCGTTCCTCTATCTTCGGAAGTCAACCCGTTAAATTTCGCATTGTACCCACCACTTTTGAGCATGCCAACGCAATGATTGTCATTCCTGATCCCGATGCTCCACACGTGCACCCCCTCTCCGGTGCAGTCCTCGAACAACCTGCATCAAACCTTTTTCTGGTCGGGCCTGCCTTTCAATGCGTGCGCCAGCTACAACGACAAATAGCCAAGGGGGTACGTCTGCGCCCCTATCGCATTGTGCGTAGTCCAGCGGATCGCAGGTTTTCCATTACACCCAATACGACCAGTGTCAAGAAAATTACAATAACAAGCTCAAGTCCCAAAGAAACGTGATGTATTGCTAGCGCTACCATTAGTGTATTACCAGTATTCTTTCTGAGAAGTGTAGAGGAAGTGTTGCGTTATAAGTTACAAATAAACTAATGTCTGAATACGATTCACTTGTACTACTAGTTGTAGGAGAGCACTGTTACTCATTCCAATTCGTTGTGTCTGATTCACCTTGATCATCGTGAAGGAGACGGGGTACCATGCATACGAAAACAAAGGTTTCAATGGATACGCAATAAAATTTCCGACACTGATTCACCCTCGCTGGAAGTTTGATCTGGGTGGAACAAAGGAACAACAATCACATTTTTTATGCAAATCCGAGTGGGGCAAGTTGCCACTGTTAGACTTCAGTAAGCTTAGCCTGGTAACACCCTGTTTCCGCACACTGCACTGGTATGATCAAAATAGCCTCGCCAAGTTTCGTCACGTCACGAGCGGCCCTCCCAGCACGTTGTACAAGTGCGCAAAATGAAGGTGGCATGCCCCATAAAATGACCCGTTCAATATTCCGCATGTCACATCCCTGTTACATTACTAGTAACTCAGTCAGATTGATTCGAAAAAGATGTGGTTTCACCATTCGAACAGCATCTGTACACACAAGGATCCGAATAAATCCGTCCTGTACAGTGTAGTCGATTGTCGCATGATAAAATGCAATACAGAATTGTGTTATGTCTTGGGGGAGCCATGGCCCATTGGCGAAGCCGGTCAACAAGATCCTCTGTTGTAATGTGTTGATTGTAGTAGACCAGCTGCACTGGAATGTCTCCAGGTGGAATGACAAATCGTAAGTCTGCTTTCGACTCATCAGAATGTTTCATGACACGAACAGATAGGGTCGCGGCCCATTTGATAATCGAACAAACACGCGATCCTTTGCAATCTGCAGCTTTGCACAAACGTCATCGAGAACTGTACTGGGACATTTGCTGGCAGCCGACCTCGCAGGATTCCAATATCAGCATAGTCTTGGCGGAATGTACCCCCCACAGACTAACACAGTCACGGTGCACTTCATCTACGCACACCACACGAAGGCGCTGACTAAATGCAGACTTGGACAACACAGCATCTCGAAATGTCTTGGATATTGCAATTTCGGGAGAGACTGTTATGATGCGGAACTTGCCCGCAACAATATCCTTCGTTCTCGGTGAGTTTGGCCACTCTTGTGCAACTTGAATTGTCACATCCTCACGCACCTCGTAAAGTGCCTTGGCTCTGAGTCCCAGTTGTTCCAAGACCTCCGAGCAGACTGCAACACATTTCAGCTTCGCACTCTCGGCCTTAGGAATGAAAGTCAAGTATGTTTCACTAAAATGTGTGTTACATACCTGATCTATCATTAAAGCTGTCAAAGGTGACACAACCACAGCAATACTCTCCGTCTCATCAACTAACAGCGGGAGGGAGAAGCAAATAGTCTTGCCACTCCCAGTACCAACATCGAGCACACCCAATCTATTCGAATAACTGATTCACCTGTTTGGCAAGCCTGATGTGCCACCGCCACCGCCACCTGCTGCGAAGGCGGGGATAGATTACGAGTCGTTGACGCTCCTTCGTATGCGTGAAGCTGAGCGTGCACGCTTAGAGAAGGAGATACTGGAAGCAGAAGCTGCTGAGAGCGGCTAGCCTTTCTTTGTAGTCGCTGAGCATTGCGGCAGTATCAGCATGTCTACGATAAGTAAGACCGTCATAGCGAGTCCATATCGATACCAACCCTGACAGTCTCCACAGCATGAGGGCAGTGATTTTGCTTCCCTCCGGCTCCACCGGGAAAACGCCTTCATGTGTAGCTCGAACTCACGCAGTGAGATTCAGGTCTACTAGTACCTGCACATGCCAGACGGCCCGTGTGGCAGTGGCAGGGTTCAAAGAACTAATGTGGGATTCCAAAATGTGACGCCCATCGCTGATGTGAAAGCTAGACCATTCAGTACAAATCAAAGATAGACCACAACCAGCATCTTTGCTCAAAGCAATCTCAGAGTACTGTATTTGGCTGCGGTCCTCATTCTTACCACTGACTTCGTGGTATATACCATGGGACGTTTTGCGGCTTCAAGCATGCGTAGAGCCTATCTGTTACATCTCCCAACCCGCGAACCCGGGCCAATCTTACTGTTTGAAGGATCCTGACCTTCCTGGCTTCCTGATCAGGGTGGCAACACGAGGCTCCAGGGACTATCAAGCCTTATTAATACCGTGTGTCTCATCAGATGCAGGCGTCGTGCAGTAATTTCTGGCGCAGTAAGCGCCTGCCACTGCTCAAGAATTATCGCGGTAATCCTCTGGCCAGACGACAAGACCTTCGATGTGCTATCAGTTATCAGTCTTCAGTCTTTGGTCATCATGTAATCAAGGTTATGGTATACGAGGTATCGTTTTGAAGCCAAGTACGTATACGGCGCTTCGAGCTTCGAGCTAGCTCGATGATAAACCGCCTGTTTTTGAATGGGTGCTGTGATTCGGGTCAAAGAACCGAAAAGTACAAGCGCATGCTTACCGCATGGAGGTCGCACGCAGTATTCTTTGATCTCACCGCTGCCGCATCGATTTATTCGCTCCCCACTGCGATCTGTATTAAAGCGAGCAGAAGGGTTGGAAAAATGAAAGCTCTATAGTTGTAACATCGTCAAGAGTTTCTGCCGCAGGCACCCATTACACAAATCCAAGCCTCTGCCCTCTTTCTCCAAGCGAAATGAGGTTAATTCCCTCAACTCAGCAACATCTCGGGTGAGATTTCCCCAACACCCACAATGTGTGATATCTGAGGTTTTAATTGGTGTAGCTCCCATCTCCACCATGAAGAGACAGATTCGAGCTCCAACAAGTTCTCCATTCAGACGGCGTTCAACATAACCGCCCTTCAACAAGTCAATATTACCATGTGCGATTTATCTACCATTCAGAATTGACGGACTTACATGCAATGACAGGACCAGCCAGTTGGCACCAGATATGTATGGCGTCCAAGTTTTTGGCGAGTTCTTATAACCTCATGTCATAACTACTCAGTTCTGATGAATCCCAGATATCGACCTTCATCACCTGCCCAAGATCGGGTGGTTGAATGTGGATCATCAATTCTATGTCAAACTATCGCTTGATGATGCGCGCATGACCAGTTGTACGACACCGGAGAAACATAGCTCTATGCCATGGAGTAGTAAACATATCTTGTACGTCGGACACTACTGCCTGATTCAAAGGCTGATTCACAGAGCAGCAATGTTCGCAACTCTACCAAGCTCACATTGGAAGTATTTGCACATCGCCAACTTCACGATGATCAGTACATTGGTATGGTCCAGGGCTGTATCAAGGAATTTTTGAGGTACCCTGGCTGTGAGTAACTGCATCCTTGCACGCTATTTATTGACAGTTCAATTCAGCCATTCTTGAACAACTGAAGTACGTGAACCTCGAAGGCAAGACAGAGCTGCTCAGGGCAAGCTTGGAGTTTAAGCTTACCCCTATTGTGGGCGCTGGGAGACCTGGTGGATCCCATCTTACCGAAACCGGCCATAGCGAAGGTATCTGGAACGGGCCAATAGCGAGTGGTGGCTATTGCGGTGCTTTCAGAACACCGTTTCCTCCGGTAGTGCAAATATCCCGTACGTGATATCAATTCGAATGACGGTCACTCTTATATTTTGCGTCAATCAGATATAGACCTACACCATCTGCCGCGAATTAGTTTGTTTTCGGCTCACGATAGCTTCTATGTCCATGCTTCTGTAGATGATCATGACCACAAGACCACCACTGCTGAGAAACCGCATTCCTTACCATGGACGACGGAGCTAAAACTGTGAGATACATTGTACCCATGGGTTCGTGACATTAACTCCTAGCAAGAAATGTACAGCCGTCGTCCATAATTTCCCTCAAAGTCTTCGCAAAACGTTATCTCCATGAAGATCAGTACATCGGTATGGTACAAGAAGGCGTCGAGACGCTTCTCGCTCATTCCAGCAGTGAGTTTCTGGTACTATCTGATTGGCTCGCTCGTCGTTGAATACAACATTAGCTAAAATCTACCACCTCGTGTCTTTTGATGGTCATGGCAAGAAAATTTTCCTTGATGCCAGCATGGAATTCAAGATCAAACCTCTCCACAATACAACGGAGCATAGAACCACTCGGCACGGTGAAAGCCAGCTCACCCGGATAATCGACGACTCCAAGGATGTACCACATATGTCGGCAATGGGAGGTCGTGATCTAAGCGAACCATTGAAAACGGCTGCTGAGGAGGTCGCCAGTGTTGTTGCCTCAGAAGTCCTTACACCGCTCTTGGACAAGATCAACATTTTCATTCAGCTTGCTGGCAAGTTCGCTGAGGTACAGTCCCTGGAATTTGCCACTGAATATGTCTGATACCGTTCCGTAGGCCCATCCTTACACCAAAATGGCGTTCATGGTTCTCACTGCAGTATATCAGGTAAGTGGGATAGTCACATGTTCCGACCTAAGGAGCTCATCTGTTTTGATTAGTTGGTGGATGCACAATTTGCCCGAGACCGAAATATTCGTCAGCTCGTTACTATTATGCACGAAACCTACAGCCTTGTCTCTGGCGTAGAAGAACTGAAAAGGATGGAATCGCAAGTAAAGACCATCAACTCCCTCGCTCGCCAGACGATCGAGTGCTCGTACTTTATTCGTGACTATCTGCAGAGCAGGAGTGGGTGTGAGTTTCGCAGCTTCTTACCAAAGTTTGGCTTTTTTAACAAAATCCTTAAATGTAGGGAAACAGAGCTTTTCGAACGCGTTGTCCGACATCGATAATAAAATTCAAATGTACGAAGCAACGTTCAAAGAACTCAGGAATGCCATACAACAGCAGGCCACGATTAATACGCAACTCTTTGTCCTTCGTGTTTATGATGTATTGCTTGACCATGGTAGTGTTCCATCTTCCATCTCTCATCCTTACACATGTTCATATTACTATTAGCCGCGAAAGCAGACCTTGACGCCCTGCATTATGCTATTGGCGCTTCGATTGAATCACAGAAGATCGGAGATGTGTCCTCACAGACCGATATCCTGGAGTCGATAACTTCATGGGTCAATCAAGACGTTGGACAGCAGATCTACCTCTTGCTAGGTCCAAAGGGGTCTGGAAAATCCACTATCGCATATACCATTGCACGCCAATTCGACGCAATTGTGCGTCTCGGTTCGTCGTACTTTTTTTCGCGCGCTTTCCAGGACAAGCGAAACGCTACGAATTTGTTTAGCACGATTGCACGGGACCTTGCTGATCACGACCTTCAATATATGAAGGCTCTCTGGGACACCGTGAAAGACAAGCGCGCGTTACGTGAAACGATCGACCCACTTACTCAGTTCGATCGCTTTATCCTTAGTCCTGCGAGTCAAATGACATATATCGGCCCTGTGCTAGTGGTCATCGACGGGTTGGAATACAGCGGCGGCGAGTCAGATCGCAGGGACCTCCTGACTGCGCTCGCAGTGAAAGGAGCAGAGCTCCCCCGTAATTTCAAGTTACTGGTCACCTGCCGCCCAGAGCAGGACGTTTGCGCTGCTTTCAAAGGAAAATCTCATGTTATACAGAAGTATTTGAAACATCGCGCCGACTCACTCATTATTCCGCCATCAACATTGGGGCAAAACCAGACAAGCAGGTCTAGGTCTCGCCCTCCCACCCCTCCTCTATCTATCCCCGATTTTGCGCAATACAACCCTTCACCTCTGGCTGACTCGTCGATGACCGGCACAAGTGACTCCACTCCGATATCGGATGTCTCGAGTTCAGACTCAGCAGTCTCCACTGTGTTTGACCCCTGGGATGACGGCTGTGATTCTACCGAGTCCCCTCCTTCCAGTACCAGATCCGTTTATGAGGAGCCACAGCCTTCAAAAAAGAAGGCCCTTGTACAAGTTACACGCAGGAGTGAAGAGTTCATCACTGTAGAGCAGATCTCCGCGACAGGCGGCCGTACCATTAGAGGAACCAATTTGAAGAAGCACGATAACTGGATCGTCGAGCAGCATGATCATTCTCAAAGTGGTCTGCTACTTAAAGAACTAGGATTCGTCATATCAGCAGAGCCGACGAATGATTTGGCGCCGATACTTGGATCATGCAGTAGTCGTCTCCCCAAACGACCTCGCCAGAAGCAGGTCCGAGCAAAGACTCTTGTCCGTCATTCCACGAGTGTGGATGGGGCGGAGATACCGGGTTAGGATGATGATCTCGCATGTCGGTGATATCACCTTGTCACATCTGCCTGCAGTGCTATGTATTATAGAAATGTAATATGGTCGTCACTCCACTAACCTCGACGACAGATACTATGCTATGCGATCCCTACGTGCAATGATCAAACGACTGTTACTGCGCAATGTTCTAGTCTTGGCCCTCCACTACATCTGTTGTATGTACTCCTACATCCGAACCGTCAATATTTACAATCTGCATTACCTCCGCATCCAACTTATACCATAACATCTTTCGGGTTCGCCGCCACATTCGCGGTTGCGCAATGGTATGTGTGCGGGCCTTGAAGTGATTCATCATTATCGGCATCTGGAAGTTGCTCGACGTCTCCTTTACCGACTCTGCTGTGCCACCGTGCTTTCTATGGTTTTTCATAAAAACCTCGCCAGTTACGCACGTCGCAGTGCAGTATATGTATATAGTTTGCAAAATGGTGTTACCGCATCAGTTAACTGGCAGAATTTACTGTTTGGGGGAGATTTTTTGGCTACACGTTCACCAGTGACCTAATCGTGGAATGGCATCACTTGGTCGACCATCGTATGACTTTCCAGAATAGTGTGGTAGTTTTGATCAGGGTCACCGGGACTTGGGGGTGCTTGTGTTTAAGTTAAGGTTCGTTCGAGTTCAGGGCCCATTAACATTACTCACTGCTTTCAACTTCCGCACCAAGGTACTACACAAGTCACAGGCACTGCGTCTGCGCGATGCTATGACTCCCGTTGTGACATGTCGCAAATCAATGCAACTGTCAAGTTATGACACAGTATAGTAGCGTGAACAGCATGTGGCACTGCCTTTAATGGCACGCAAGGGAAGGAAGACACTTCATATAAGCCTGAACATCTAGCAGGTCTCTCCATCGCTTCCATCATCTTTTCTCGCTCTTGACCGTTGATCTTCATCATTATCAAGCTTAGCCTCTACCTCACTGTCTAACCGTCTGCAGGCACAGCAATAACTTCTTTCTCGATCAGAGTCATGCTCAGCAAAGTGAGTGAGTCAAGCACATCAGCAAGATGGAAAGAAGCCCAACAAGAGGCGCTATCAAGCTCCCTAGCACCTGTTGTACCGCTTCGGACGAGCGCAAAGGAGCCACCACCCTATGGTGCACAGCACCGCCAGGATGCACTTTGGGAAGGCGAGAAACCACGTCGCAGTGATATCCAATGGCTTACTGACTGCGAAGCAGGCGGGAATGAAGCCCTCCCTCCTCTATGGCATCAGTTTGAGGTGTTGGATGAAACTCAATACCAAGACGACAAGCTCACCATGGTTACACGGAACAGACCTTTACCAGGAGTGCGACTAGGTGAGTGAAGAAAGCGCTACTAGGGGTGACAAGTTTATGGTATAACGTCATAGATGGACCTGGAGATCTCGTTGCTTCAAGATACGAATGGCACATCTCACCACTTGGTCGGTCCTACTTCGTCAACCACAATACTCGGACCACGTCATGGAAGAAACCAAAGCCAGAACGTCATGCAGAAAGCTTGATACCAGAGTGTGTCATTGAAGGTCACTCCGCATGCATATGGAGCCTTGCCTACTTGGGTACCAGTGGCAATATAATGAGCACGTCTGAAGATAGCTCAATTCGTCAATGGAAAAGAAACGGAGAGCCAGTAGGAAAGCCTTGGTATAGTGACAAAGGGATAGGCCCGATAACAGTATCCCCGGATGAAACGATGGTTATTGGTGGAATTGTAGACGGCTCACTACAGCTATGGAATATAAAGGAGGGCGGCACGATCGGCGACCCGTTGGAGGGGCATAAAGACGTAGTAAGGTGCCTCGACTGGTCTCACGATGCCCTGGAGGTAGTAAGTGGATCTGAAGACGGCACCATACGACGCTGGAACCCGAATACTGGTCGACAAATAGCGCCACCAATGGAGACCAGTCATGGATGGGTCCTCGCCGTCAAATACTCTCCACAAGGCGACAAGTTCACGAGCAGCGGTGCAGACGGTGTGATTTGCGTATGGTTAAGGAACGGCAAGCTGCTCATCAAGATCAAGGGACATGACAAGTGGGTGGCCTCGTTGTGTTGGTCTAAGGACGGCACACACATATATTCCGCGTCAAGCGATCATACTATCCGAAAATGGCGGTTAACTGATGGGCAGGAACTCGTCGTTTTTCGGGGTCACACCAACTCTGTCAAATCCCTCTGTCTTACTCCCGATGAAAGTTATATTGTTAGCGCATCAAGTGACTGCTCCATTCGCATCTGGGACCTCAAAACCAATCAGGTAGTTGGAGATCCACTCTTGCATGATGACAGAGTCGTCGCTATTGCCATGTCCCCGGATGGAAAATATATTGCCAGTGCTGGACCAGATAAAAAAATCTATGTATGGAACCTGGAGGCGGCGCTCGAAGTTGTGGTATGTATATTCCCTCTGTTATCCAATTTGCCTTCCTAATGGTTTTGGTCGTTTACTAGGGTGCGCACGATGACAATGCAAAGCTCGATGCAAGTCTTCTCTGCTTATCTTTCACACTACATCTCACTTTTTATTAGGGATGTCCAACTCAACCGAGAGTTATGCGCCCACCAATCGTGAGCAACCTCACCTTTTCTCAGATGCTTTGTTAGACCTTTGACCCCCGTCTTGCCTCTAATCAGCAGGCCAAAAAATGGATTGGCAAGATATGTCAGTGTAGTTTCTTGTTCTTGACCTTTCTCGCCTGACACCAAGATACAGGGCAATGATTTCTTTGGCAATGAGTCGGACCACGCGCCTCGTCACGCAGCTCCACCTGCAAGCCCATCGTTCCTAAGTCATTGGCGTCGTTTGCTCAGTTTCATACATTTCAGCACACGACCTGCAGATGCATCCAAACCAATTGAGCGACAGTCCCGACACTGGAATTTCAACTTCAAGTTGTTTTCTGGAGGAAACACCAGTCGCACCGTCGACGTAGCTCTTGCTCAAGATGAAAATGTGAGTGGCTCACCTTTGCTCTTCTTTTATCCCATTAAAACACATTGCAGAGAATTGCCATTGTCCCTGAAACTGACGCGGAAGCAGCCGCAGCTATGCAACGCACAGATGCCAACGAGGCTGACAATTCACTGCAACCAGGTCAACTAGCTGGGGCACAAGCCCCTCAAGTACAACCAATCCAAACACAAGCACAAGGCCCAACTGGCGGAGTGGAAGACTTTGCGTATGAAGGGGTGAGCTGCTGCGGATTTTTTTTTGGTCGTCGTCGTTCCACTTTGCGTCAGTCATGAGATCATCTAGAAACTATGTTATTCGATCGTTTCTCTTCCCTTTCATCTATGTCTACGCATCATTCATCTTAAATATAGCTCGTTCCATCCCATTGTACATGCGCATGAAATTGATGTTTCTCTTTATAAGGGAGTGCGTGGTTGAAGCAAGCATGAAGCTGTACCAGTGTGCCTGTGTGATGACCCAGCCGCTCCCGCATATAATATCCGAACGTATTCCACCGCATACTCTTGTACTTGATGAGCCGAATCATTGACTTCAGATCCTGCTGTTCCAGTCGAGATACTTTTGGGGCTGTCCCTACCATTGCGATAGCTCTCGCCCACCAAGGCTTTAAGCGCACGTCGCCCGACGAGATATCATTATGCTAAACGAGATGCAAACCACTGGACTTCAGCCCATCAGTCTTCACGATCCAGTGTTCTACTGAGTATTCGCATCTCGGTAATCATACCGAAGAAGGTTTTTGAACCTGTCACATGTTGCCTTGGTCAGTATACGGCCCCCTAAGTAGTCAGTGTACCTCAAGTATCGGTATTATGCAGTGACTTCAGTGTACCTGACGCCGCCCCATTTTGATGATTTCGACGCTGCCAATGAGTACTTTGATTACCTGCCTACATAAGCTTTAATTGATTTCGGAATCTTGTGACCCCCAAAGAAGGGGTCACGTAGTCCAACGCCTGTGTCAGACGTGTTTGAACGGTGCGAGTAGAGTGTGGTAACACAGAAGAGATGGCAGGAAAAGCCAAAGCACGGTACGTGGCCTTCTCATCATAGGAACTCTACTTGATGATTGCCTTGTGGTGATTAACACTATTTTCCTTTTGCCAACGTCTTACTGCCAGAACGATCATCGTCCGCTTGATTTCCACTGCGCAAACAGGTTTCTTCTATACCACGCAGCGCCCAAGGCAGGGTCCGAAGCTCGCTGCCGTCAAATATGATCCTAAAGGTGAGTATTGATGTCGAGGCAGTTGTGCAAAATTTTGAACTGGTTCATTTCAGTCAAAGCTCGCGTACTCTTCGTCGAGAGCAAGAAAACGAAGAAGTAGTGAGATAGTCGCTCCATATTTTTTGTTTCTTGGCAGCACCAAGAGATTCACGCCGACCTATGTTGACACTGAGTGGTGCTCGACATCACACCCCACAATCGTGACAATATGCTATTTGTCGCGCTCTAATACATGTTCGAAATAGGTGGTGTAGGAACCACAATTCTGTCCGCAGATATTCTGTTCATACAGAACTTAACATAAGTTAGGGAGGGGTGCACCTGAACTACTACACATGACAAAAGATATTCTACACATCCCTGCTCACCAAAACGTCTGCCCTGCCTGGGGACTGCTCGGTATATTCTGTGGCGTTACCCCACTCTGGGGAATTGATGTGGCCGATTGGGACTGAGCCGGCTTGGGAGCCTCTACCTCTTTGCGGTACTCAATTTTCTCGACACGGACTTCGCCTTCCACAAGCTGATATACATACGTGACAACGACAGCGCCCTGAATGTCCATGAGTGCAAACGATGGTGTTATTTCACTAAGAATATCGATTCAGTCAGGCAATGCAGACGAAATGATGCAAGGGCTATACCCGTTGTATGAGCCTGTCCATGCTCCAGTTGCGGACCCAGGATTCACGAAGAAACGACCATCATATTCAATTGCCTGGAAGCTTATTTGAATCACATCAGAATGCCAGTTATCATGTAGAGGCTGCGGAGTCAACACACGTATGCGTATGCCCTGAAACGAGCACATCTACATCCATTTGCCGTGCCAATGCACTGAGAGCATCAAGGTCACCAGTCGGTACACACTGGTGCCCATGAATCACTCCAATTCGTATTGGAGTATGGACTATGGTTGCAGATGGCGGAAAGCTGGCGCTCTGGGTCGTCCGCAGGTCAGTAATGACTCAACCACATAGTGTAACATGAAAATGACAAATATGTACCTCATCATAGTCCCCTCGGACAACATACACATCTCCTGCTATAGTGCGCAGGTATTCGTAGGTCTCGCGGTCACAAACGTTCCCTGTGCAAAGGATCTGTTGAATTTTTCCTGGAACAAGAAGTTTACGGAATTTGGCTGGGAGGTCATGTGCGCGGTGTGGGATGTGCAAGTCACCGATTATTAGGACAAGCACCATGTTGCACACAGCGGCAGTATCATGTATAACGGACTCCTGGAGGGAAGCTTGGGGTCGGCTGTGAGAAATTATTATATAAGCTATACGTCATCATTGTTGGCAATGCCTTCCTGATTGCATTTGCAGGAATGGCCCATTCAAATTATCTCTAAATTGTATGCTACTGAAGCATGGATATGACGTGTGCTTCAATATTCTAATGTTATCCTAGTTTCACAGCAGTAGATTCAGCGGGTTCCGACGGTATACTAGTAGAAATTGAATTATTAGACAACAGGATATAAAGCTAACAACAAGTACATTACACAAGAGTAACAAGGTGTGGATACCAATAAACCATTCACAGCAGAAGCACAGAAACCTGTAGAAGGGACGCTGGGGGAGCACCGGAAAGCAAACAGGGGTAGAAGGGTCACATGCGACACGAATAAAACAAGAGAATCGAGTACATATAAATGCGAATGTGCATTGCTGCGCTACGGGAATGGAAAGTGGACTCCACACTGGTGCATGAATTAGATGTTGGTGTAGCTCCCTGCCAAGCGAAGATGGTTAGTGCCGATAGAAGGGGAAGAAAAGAAACAGGCCTACAAATCCGCGCCTGCCAATCACCGCTGCCCGTAGCCAAGATACTGCCCGCGGGACTCAAATCGATAGAGATGACTGCGGCAGATTCATTAATGTGGTTCTCGGTCCGGAATCATCAGAACATTCGTACCAGAGTTCTTGTGTCCTTGAAGCATGCACTGCGTCGTTGCGGTGTGCGAGTCCCAGAACTGGACACCACGGTCCTTGGACCCTGACACAACCCACTGCCCATCATGCGACACAGCAACGGAGAGCACGTAATCCTGCGCGGACATGAAATGAGTTGGAACAACAGATGACATATATAATGGGTCCGCGGCCGGGACTTATTTGCTTACCGTGTGGCCCAAGAAGTTCATGGTGCACTGGCTGCCCTTATCATCTTTCTTCCCATTGGCCACCGCCTCCTTGCGTTTTGCGAGAAGCCCGCTGACATCCCAGTATTTCAGAGTCTTGTCTAAGCTACCGCTCACCAACCCCTTCCCGTCGGGCGTGAACGCAACGCTGTAGACGCTGTCCCTATGACCCCGCAGGCGCTCGATGAGGGAGCCCGTTCCCACGTCCCAGATGCGCACAACGGTATCAAGACTACCAGCCGCAACCAGTTGGCCGTTTGGTGAGATAGCCACAGAGGTTACGCCTGCATCGTTGTTCACAGGATCGGCGTCATTGATTGTGAGCACTTTAGATGACCCATCAACCATGTCCCAGATACGGGCAGTTTTATCGCCCGATCCCGAGACGATAAGCCTGCCATCTAAGGAAAAGTCGAGTGAGTAAATCTCCTGCTGATGTCCGTCGAAAACGTTGCGGATGCGTTTCTTGGCAATATCCCATATCTGTAAGGCGTGATTAGTGCACGACCCTGATGAGACATAAAGTTTGGCGCACTCTGATCTGCTTATCTTCAGCGCCCGTTGCAAGATATTTCCCATCGGGGCTGAAACAGACACTCCTGATATACAGGTCACCTGCCTTTCCAGCTGATTCATCTGCAAGGACGCTGTAGGTCCAAGGGTAATGAGATGGACTACTGCAGTCGAGATCGTTACCTACCAGGTCTTTGCGCCCGTCTTTGTGTCATAGATCTGAGCCGTGCGATTACAGCCGGTGGCGAGGTACTTGCCGTCTGCAGAAAATCGTACACAGCAAACGACACTAATAGATGGCACGTGAAAATGTAGATATACAGGAAGATGTGATCAGGAGGCTATGCTCGATCAAAGCCGATCATACCACGCACCTCTCGTGCATGAGCGTGTGCACTAGTGACACATCTAACACGCGCTTGACTTTACCATTGAAGACCGCGAACCAGTCAGTGCCTTCCTTCTTCAGTTCGGGCGGAACATTGTGTGGGTCGAGATCATCCGGAAACTGCCCCCCACCACTTTGTGCGTTGTTGATGGGTACGAGGGTGCTTGAGCTAGCTGCTGGTGGTTCTGCTGGGCCGGCAGGCGGTGGATTTCCAGGCCCAGGTGGATATGGCGCATGGGCGGCAGGTGGTGGTGGAAGACCCGGGCCTTGGAAAGTAGTCAAGGCAGGAGGTGCTCCAGGTACAGGGGGGAGCTTCGCATTTGGGGGTTGAAGAGAAGGACTATAATGATCTGTCGCAGATAAAGGGGGGGAAAAAGAGGTGGCATAGTATCCATGAGGAGGCGGCGAACGTGTGGAGCTTGAAGTGAATGGTTTACCTGGACGAGTATCACCCTTCATACGCTCAGTCTTTATACGCTTTGAATCCCGAGCCTCCGCCGGTGGACGTTCGCGATCTCGGTCGCGCTCTTCACGCTGTCGGTCACGTACTTCGCGCTCGCGTTCACGATCAGCACGTTCGCGGTCTTTTTCCCGCTCGCGTTCACGATCGCGATCTCGACTGTAGTAAGGCTCGTTGTATGAGCCAGGCCCAGGAGGCACACCGGGGACTGCAGGCGGAGGTGCAGGTGGACCGGAAGGCCCGACTGAAGCGGGACCGACGGGCGGATGTGGAGCTCCTGCTGGTACACCTTGTCGAAGTGCATGGAGCTCTCCTCTGAGGCGACTCAGCTCCTCTTCGTATGTCTGTCGAATCTTGCCATGTTGAGATTCCAGCTCATACAGTGACTGGCGAACGATGTTCAACTCGTTTATTTGTGAAGTGACTAAATGGACAAGATTGTGCAATCATACATAAAACCGAGGTGTAATTAAAGAATCAAAGGTGCGCACCTTTGGATTCATACTCGTCTCGTTGATTGCGAAGGATGCCAAGGTCAGAGGTGATAACATCAAATTCTTGGCGGATGGTATCGACGGCCTCATTAAGCCTGACATGACTGTGCTGGTTTGGCCCTTGGGCAGGGGGAACCGTAGGTTGCAAGCTCCTATGCTATTGAAACAGGGAAGGTCAGTATGGGTGCACGCCAAGAAAGAGTTCATAGCAACAGAGATAGAGAATTTTGTTCTCGGGTTAGCGCCGTGAAGGAGCGTCATAGCCCAATTAGAGAATTCATTGAGCACGATATGTGACAGAACCTGTATTGAAGAAAAGGAAAAAAATCAGATGGAATTACTCACGTTGTATATTGTGGAGGACATGAAGGAGGTTGGGAACCACGGAATGGGTGTTGATCATCGCCTTTATAACTGGCGTTGGACCCTGATACTCTGATTCTTTTCTCACACTTGACACTACCGGCGGCATGTCCTATTTGAGTTGTAAAGGCACAATCACGTGCTCGGTAAACATACATTGAGAAGTTCAAACCCAGCGGCACCAGAATCTCCTTCTCTCTTTCAGGCGGTTGCGATGCTCAGGAAAGTCGGACTTTGCTATAATACGTTAACCGCACATAGTCTCCGTGCTTGCAGGATGCACTGCTCTCATCAGGTAACATAATCTCCGACTGCTCAGCAAATGAGGCGAGGTGTAACATACTAGGGTATCACTATCCCAATTCCATTGCTGTATGGCTCTCCACTTCGTTTCCATTTCTGATCTTGAGGACCACGGGCCATCGAGCTCGGAGCCTTCATCCGGAATCTACCTAACAAGTAACTTCGACTTCGCACGTATAAGCCAGATTTAGCATCACGGTCGCAGTTTGCTCGGCCACCGCCGTTTCTGCTGATTCAAAGGGCCATCAACCCCATACAAGGTGTGAGACTTATCTGTATCCTTTTCGTTTCTTGTCTGGGTACAAGTGGCGATGTTCTCGCGGAGTTTGAAGACGCAGGCGCCACCCGAGCATGGCTGACACACCCTGTTAGGCGCTGCACAACACGCACGAGCCATGCATATCAGGTCCATCTTTGGTGCCACAATCCTACAATAAGATCATCATGCCATTTGTTTCTTACCAACCTTAAAGCACAGACATGGCGAGGATGCCATTGACACCACCTCCAGTTGCATACAAGTAACATTCCTTTGAGGTGAACCGGTGACAGCTGGCGGGCAGCAAAGAGTCCGGATGCGTATTCTTACTTAGGTCATTTGCGAGTGGCTAACATCGCTTGAATTTGCCGAGCCTGCTGAGGGATGTCCAGACTTTGTCTACACACCCAGACCGGCCAGAACTCTGACCTTGGTCTACCAGCGCAGAACACTAATTTCACCGGTGGGAATAATCACCACTTGCAATTTCATATTGCCGACCACTTTTATGCATGAACATAGCTGGCAAATACGTGAGGCTTTACGGCTCTGCTCGGCATTCACAAGAAAAAGATATCATAAGATATGATATGTTCCGGACGAGTTTCACACATAAACCTACACAACGGAAGGCGCACTAGTTAGATTGAATGGTGCTCAGTGGTCCATGATGATTATGATAACCCATGCATGTCACCGTAGCAAGTTAATCTTGTGGTTCTGGCATATAAATAGCAGTACCCTGCAACGTGACCTGGCTCCATCCATTATTGTGAAACTGAATTGAAAATGTCCGATTATCGATTATCATACAATTTACGCCAGCGCCGAGCGTTGATCCGGTATTTAATATTTAATATTCATCCGCGCTGGTTTCGCTGGTGTTCTTCCCACTCCAATCGCAGGATGCCACAAGTCAAAAAGTATATACAATTTAGCCCTCAGGTTCGTAAAGCGTCTTCTAGTCAAAAGTCTAGCTGAGAACAAAATTGAGGGTTGTTATCAAATAGCCTGACGTTAATTCATGACAACTCTCAGAACTAGCCTGCAGTCCAGAACCAAAGTTTATGACAGAGTCATTCGCGAACTTTCTTCTCACTTCCTCGTTCAACAATCCCTTCAGTTCGCGGCCCCCTCGTATCTGTTTCGAACACATCTCCCACACTCACAACGCTCAAAGCGTTTAAATCATTCACGCGTCGCATGGCTGAAGAATTAGACTCAACGACAGTACCCGTGGACTTTGTCAAGGAAGGAGGCGATTGGCTGGCCATATTTAATCCCCGCGTACCTCGCCAGATGGACGTGCAGCTTGCAGCGCGGTACGTTCATGACGGGTGCGTTTGTTTGGAAGACTTATGGCTTAACTCCAGTCTGACACCATTTTGTGAGTCAGCGTGGTATGTAGTGTGAAATTTTCCTTGGACGGGACATTGCTTGCAGTAGGCATGGAGGGTGCCGTTGTACTTTACAACTTGACTCTTGGAGAGAAGTTTACGTGAGTACTCATCCTGTCCTGTCACGAACGACATTGGGTGAGCTGGTAACGCAGCTTCACACTGGAGAGTAATAGTGGAAAACCAAATCATGCACGAGCTGTTTGCATCAGTCCTGATGGTCATTTTCTTGTCGCTGGTTCTGAAGACAGACTCATAAGAGTGCGTGCCAGTAACTCAAATTTTATTCATCAGAGCACCCATGTTGCTGTATAGGTCTGGAGTATCACGAACCGCATGTTGGTGCATGCTTTGGAGGGGCACTCCGGAGAGGTGTATGCTCTAGCGTTTACACCTGACAACAACACATTGCTTTCAGCGTCCGGAGATTGCACGATTCGCGTTTGGGATGCGACTCAGTTTGCTGAGACTCCTGATGCTAGCTCAATCATCCTCGATGAAACTATGGAGGCCACCTGTCGTGTACTTCGCCCCAGCCCTGGTGTCAAGCTTTCATCCAAGCTCGCACTAACATCTATTGCTGTCGACTCAACTGGCAAGTTTGTTGCTGGGGGGTCGTTGGATGGAATGATTCGAATCTGGAAGGTTGACGGCACCGAGAACGGCAGCACGGAGCCGGTGGAGACATTAAGCGGGCATGAGGATGCTGTGTATAGTGTGCAGTTTATTGAAGGCGGCTTGGTGAGCGCAAGCGTGGATCGCGTGCTGAAACACTGGAACATAAGTGAAGTGGGTGTTGGTCGCACAGAGTGTCGAAAAACTCTGCAGGGACACAAAGTACGTGACAACTTGGACAAAACTTCGATCCCAGTATTGCAACTGACCATTCACTAGGACTGCATTCTCGCCACATCTGCACTTCAAATTGGAAGAGATCAACGCGTCGTGTCCTCGTCCCGGGATGGGACGGTAAGGATGTGGGACTTGAAGACGGGCATGGTGCAATTCGTGATCCAGGGTCATAAAAACACTGGTACGTAGCCGGACCACCGAGCCTCTGCAATTTCTTCCAACGTTCCTTTCTCAGTGACGACTGTGGATCTTTGCAAGGATGGACGGCTGTTAGCATCTGGTAGCGGGGACTGTGAAGTGCGGCTATGTAAGCGTGATTTGACATAATGTTCGATTGACCTCTGACATAGTACCGACCATCAGGGAGCTACTTGATTGTTTGAGAATGTCTAAGAAAGTATCTTATAGTTTCCCAATAACAAATGAATCGACTATATTGGAGTTGTAATCACAGCGCGGTGAGGTGGTCACCAATGATTCATTAGTGTACGCATAGTCTGTCGTTTGCGGAGCTGGTGCGTTTACTATGAATACAGATATAGGAAGCTCTTTGATACTATCATTGTTGTGTCGAGGATTGCTAGATGGTCCTCATCTATCAGCGCGCGAAGTAGTATGTCGCTGGATAGCTTCACGTAGGTACGAGGATAACATAAACTAGTCCGGTAACATTAAAGCTGTTTCTGGTAATTCTGAGTCGGCCTCGGTCATCAAGCTCTTTAACTTATTAAGTACCTGTTTTGCTCTTGGTTTCAACTTAGCTTCTTTTATTACCAAGAAGGACAATACTCGCTTCTGCTCAGCTCATTCGCGTATAAAAATCGGGACGATGCAGGCCCGAATCGTATACCAGTACGCCCTTGCAGAGATAATTATTTCACCCTTTCCAGTGGCACTACGCCGTTCACGATGAAACTTGCACATTCCTTTACATATATCCTCGCGCTATTGTCGCTGGTCGCTGGCTCACCGATCCAGCAGCTGAACACCCATGCTTCACGCCTGCCACTTGAGCGTAGGAACAATCAAGTCAGTGTTGAGAGTCTCCAAGCACACCTTAAACAAGTCGCCGCGTATGTGCACAGCTTCACTTCCTGTTTATGATATTGACAGATAAAGATAGGAAGTACCGTCGGGGATTTGCGGCGTACGAGGCCAATAAGGGACATGCCCACCCGTTGAGCATACCATCTAGCTCAAAAACGATGAAGCGAGGTGCTGGTAATGTTCCTTTGATGTCTCAAGATGTCGATTTGTGGTATGCCTCGATCGATGTTGGCACGCCTGCGAAGACTTTCACAGGTGCGCACGTATTACTATCCCTTTGAGGTAATATTAAGTAATTTTCAAAGTGTCCATTGACACGGGCAGCGCGGATCTCTGTAAGTTATTTTCTCTAAACCCGAACTTTTGCTCACCCCTTCCTTACTCAGTCCTTCCTTCTGTCAATTGTGGTGATAGCTGCGACGGTCACAATAGATATGATCCATCCAAATCCTCAACAGCTGTCGACCTTCACAAGCCATTCTACCTTAGCTTTGGTGAAGGCGAAGTTGCGGGGGAACAATTTGCTGACAACGTGGTAATCGGAGGGTATGAGGTGATTATTTTGGATTCAAGTCATGCGCGCGTATCCTAACCATGACCAGGCTAAGGGACAGACCCTCGGGGCTGCACTAGCATATTCTCCAGACTTCTCAAGTGGTAATTTCACACCTGACGGGCTTGCCGGCTTTGCATTCGGGTCTATATCTGACTACCCAGCACCTCCGCTCTTTCAAACTCTCGTGGACAGTAGACAGTTGCAGGAAGATGTGTTTGGTGTCAAACTTTCCGCCGCCCCCGGTGCAAGTGAACTATATATCGGAGGAACCAACACAGCGCTATATCAGCAAGACACTCTAACGTATACACCTGTAATTAAACCAGGCTACTGGGAAGTCAAACTCGATCAGATATCTCGAGCTGGCGTCCCTGTGGGGAAACCGGAGGCATCATCCATCATCGACACGGGAACAACTTTAATCGTAGCGAATATGAATGATACCGCATCCTATTTTTCTGGCATTGCTAACGTTACGTCGACGGTTGACGAATCTCAGGTGATTTATTCAAGTCAGTATTAAATCAAAAAAGGATCTTTATACCCTGCAGGCTAATACTAAGTGATTCAGTGCCATGCGATATCATTGAAAAATATGCGCCGACTCTCACCTTCGGAGGACATCCGTTCACCGTGTCTGGGGACACATTCAATCTCGGGCCTGTCGAAGCGGGATCCAGTGACTGTGTGGCTGGCATCGCAGGCTCGGACGACGTTGGTAAGACTTCGTGTACATGGATAGCTTGCAGTACTCTGATTCAGGCTTACTATATTAGACTTCTGGGTCGTGGGCGACGTGTTCTTGCAGAACGTGTACTCGATCTTTGACATGTGTAAATTGCGAGTTGGGTTTGCGGAGCTGGCATAAGCTCATCAGAGCATCTGATGAGAGTTGTGGGAGAAGTTTTGAATTAGATATTTGGCTAATTCCATGAGTATTACATGCGGACCTTCGACAGTACGGTGCATACGTATACTCTGAATTGATATCATTCGCGCAGTGGATGGGGAGCCGCGGGGTTTGAAAAGTGTCTTGCCGCATCTGGGGATTGAGGATGTACTTGAAATACTCCATCTGAGACATCCTGAGTCGAATCGACATTCCCGGTTCCAAACGTGTAGTTATTGTTTGGTCTTTCCGGAGGAAACTAGCTTTCGATCACATGCTAGTGGATCCGAAGCGTAGCGTCATACTAGCAAGTGATCAGACATCACTTGTGACCCTCCATCGAAGAGTCAACAGCTAGCTAACGCGTCCTCAGCGAGGCTATGGGTCACAACCTCCTAGTCACTATGATTTTGTTGTACGTGACGTTAAAGGAACTCTTCTATACGTTGCTATGACATTCAATGAACGCACAGTTTGGGCCACTCTTTGCAAGAAACTTGTGTAGCTGCTGCGTCAGTAGTCAAAGTCACGCAATGGTGAAAATAACATCTTGATCTGTACGTCGGTGTCATGGATGACGGCGCTGGTATGTAGAAACGTTCGACTGACAGATGCTCCCCGGGCCTACCTCCGCATATGGCCGCCTTAGTGCGCGAGTGACCCGAGTAGAAGTGGTGCCAATAATCAACAACGTACACACGCAGTTGTGAAATATCAAAGTTCTTTTTGACTGACTACGCGTCTTTGTCTTTGCCTCCCAGTGCAAGATGAAGTTCTCATCCCCCTCTGCCTCTCTGCTGGCTCTTGTCTCTATTGCTGCTGCTGTGCCTAAGAGCCGTAATGACGGTGTTATTCGAATTCCTCTTGCCCGCAAGAGCACTGACGTCGCCGGGCATGTTGATATGAGTGCTCTCAGTGCACACCTCTTCAGCGTTTCGAAGTAAGTTCAAAATGCTTTTTTCATAGCCCTCAACCATCGTATTGATCGCTTGCAATCCCTGTCTTCCAGCAAGTATCGTCAGACATTTTCTGCATTCGAAGCTAATACCGGTTATGCTCATCCTTTGAGCGCGAAGATGATGTCTTCTATAAGAGAGCGTGATGTTCCGCTCATCAACCAAGGAACTGAGCTGTGGTATGGCGAAATCGATGTGGGCACGCCACCACAGACGTTCAACGGTCAGACAATCCTACTGTCAGCATGGAACGAACATTGCTCATTGAACTTTATCTGCAGTATCTATCGACACAGGAAGCACGGACCTTTGTAAGCACATACACCTGACGAGATGTTTGTCTTGATCTGAGGCCACTTTTTGGTAGTCCTTCCGTCTGTGTACTGCGTGGATTGCGAAGGCCACAATATGTATCATGCTGTCCTGTCTTCTACAGCCCAGGACGAAAGAAAAGGTGTTACGCTCTCGTATGGTGAAGGTGAAGTAATGGGAGATGAATATAGCGATGACGTATCCCTTGGTGGCTACAAGGTGGCGCAATAACTCTTTCTTACATCGCAAAGACTGATTTTCTTTGCTAAGGCTTCCAGCCAGACGTTCCTTGCTGCCAATGAGTACTCCAGCAACTTCATGTACCCAGAGTTCCAGCCTGACGGTCTTCTCGGTTTTGCTTTTGAGCAAATATCTGGTCTTAAGGCTAAGTCAGTCTTTGAGACAATAAGTGACAGCGGGGTACTCCCAAAAAGCGTGTTCAGTGTCAAACTTTCTTCTACAGCCGGGGAGAGCGAGCTCAGTATCGGAGCGACCAACCCCAATCTCTACATTGAAGACACCTTGACCTATACGGCCGTTACCAATGAAGGCTACTGGCAAGTGAATCTAGAGGCAGTTTCGCGAGGTGGCTCTACGGTTGCCGGTAACAGCGCATCTATTATCGATACCGGGACCACGATGATCATCACAACTGATGCTGCAGCGGAGGCATACTACCAGGATATTCCAGGTTCAAGCAACAGTACTCAAGAGGGAATGACATATTATACCAGTTTGGCCGATCCTTTGCAGTTGATGATCTACAACTGACTTATTCCCTAGTTCCGTGCGACACGATCGGGTTATACACTCCCACATTCTCATTTGGTGGGCGCGGCTTCGATGTTTCAGAGGAAACGTTCAATCTTGGCCCGGAGAGCGAGGGTTCAAGCGACTGCGTGGGAGGTATTGCTGGGAGGTCAGATATTGGTGAGTACTTCATATCATGCGCAATGTACGCAAGCTAAGTCCTCCTTTTCATCTATCCATTTTAGACTTTTGGGTTGTCGGGGGCATTTTCCTGCAGAACGTTTACACAGTATTCGATCAGGGAAATACTCAAGTGGGCTTTGCTGAACTGGCATAATCCTCATCCTCTTCATCCTCTGCTTGGATTTGCCATAAGGACTTAGCATAAATATCTCGTTTTCGATTGCAGGTTTGGTACCTGTGTATCACATATACCCTTATACCCTTACAATTCTGCCAGTATTCACCATTTATAATTTCCTTTTGTTGAATACCGACAAATGTCAGCCGACTGATGTAGACGAAATTGACTCGATCTGAACCCCAACATTAATGTTAAACGAATACTCAAAACTTGGACCTGAAGTGAAATACCAGTGGTCGAACCTACATATAATATATTTGTGCCCTTTGAGGCACTTACGTTTTATGTAGTCAACTTTGGTGTTTTGTGCTCGAAAGCATTGAAACAATACCTGAAAATTTGAATGGACAATTATTATAATATGGTCGATGTTTACGAGTTCTATGTACACGAGAACAACAGATCAATCGCTTCATCAAGAAATTGTGCCAGTGGCAAAATCGTCGAGGATTTAAATTTTATTTATGTAATTTTTCATGAACCGCTACACTTGAAGTGCCTGCATGTTGACTAGACTCCGATAGAGCTGTGTCTTGGACAATTGCAGCGTATTTAGGGTTGGGCATCATGATGACACATCTGACCGATACATTTCAAGGACCCTGGAGAGTAATATATAGAGATGCGTGGTAATATACATGGATATCGAGCTTAGCGCGCGCGAGAGTAGGGATGGAATCTGCTACCGTGTCGTGGGGCCAGCTTGTCATGAGTGGGATGATGGGGTGGTACCTTTGCAGGAGTCGTGAAATTGATCTGTGTTCGCTTCGACTGAGAAGAAGCAGTTTGCTCTGAGCGAGCTTTTTGCAGCGCGGCTTTGAGGCAGAAATACAGGCGCCCACATGCATCGCCGAGAACCACGAGAAAAAAAATTGACCACCAAACAATTTGTAGAACAATTGGCCAAGTGCGAAGAGGTGCCAAAGGCAAGGGCATGAACGAGTGCTATGCAAGTAAGGGAGTTTACGTACCGATGCTGTCCGCAAACCATTCAGAGCGCATGTCATCTGGATCCCACATATCCTTTGAAAAATTTGTCGTGCGCTCATCGACATCCACAAATTCCACCAACTTAGCATATAGATGGGGATTGCGGAAGGACCGGTTAGACATAAGCGAATCGTTAAAATGCTTCGGATGTTCAGAATCTTGCTTTAAGGTATGAAACTGTGCAAGTTTAGTCTGAAGGATAATCAGAAAGATCCTCATGAATGGGAGCACAGTCGCACCTGAATTGTGGGGTCATATGGAGATGAAGACGCTGGCAAAATGCCCCAGTCTGTGAAACCCGGAATCGGCGGTGGTCTCAATAGTTGTCGGAGGTGGGAGATTTCATCAGCCTCCTCTGAAGATCCAGTTTCAACTTGTTCCGTGTTTGGAAACGCATCGGGCATGGACGCTGGACTGAAAGCTCGAAGGCTTTCTGAACTGCCTACAATTTCATCTGATACATGAGCACGAGGGTGACCCCTCTGCTGCGCAGGCCGACGAATGATTACTTGAGATTTTGGTAGCAGGCGGGCTGAGTTGGCTGGGTTCCATCTTCAACACGACACATATATGCATCATGATGTGCGGTACATACCATCTGAGAATGAGTTTGATACACTCTTCAGCGCCTTATCCTATCTCAGGAAGAACGACAGCCAACAAAGAGGGAAACGATTGCACGAGGCTGCGGTGAAGAATCTCTTACATTATTTAGATATATTCCCACACTGGTCTTTGAGGATGAAGCGACCTTCTCCTCCGAGTCGCTCTGAGAGTCGTCTCCATAGGCGTGAAGACCTATTGAAAATATAAGCACAACGACGTCGTGTATTTCAAGAGAATTGTGTTTACCGTTCATGAGAGTGAAAGACAAAGGGCAGATTGTAGTGTTTTAGAACTCCGCGCTGCATTTCGTTTGCCGAGTTGCCGTTAGTACCTAGTGCTCTTCACTTGTCAGTGTCAATTATGTTCTCCATGCGTTTCCAGCTGCTTCCTCAGGCCTGCCTGCTGTTGCTAACATGTTTCATAGCATGGGCGGTTGGCTCATCGGGCTATTCTGCACCTGCTGGTGAGCGCGTAGCTGATTTCTTCGGTGGACACGATTCGGGTTCAGGACACACCAACAATTGGGCAGTTCTTGTATGCGCGTCTCGGTACTGGTTCAACTACAGGGTGAGCACGATTGTACCACTATAGACCGTCTTTTCTGAGACTATGTGCTATAGCATATGGCAAATGCCCTTGGAATGTAACGCACCCCATCCCTGGAGTTAGTTGCTCACTGCCTGATGCACCTGTCAGGTATCGTACCGTCAAGCGTCTTGGGATTCCGGACTCCAACATCATCCTCATGTTGGCGGATGACGTAGCGTGCAACGCAAGGAACAAATTTGCTGGCAGTGTCTATGCAGAAGCTGGAAGGCATCTAGACTTGTACGGCGAGAACATCGAGGTAGACTATCGTGGCTATGAAGTAACTGTGGAGAACTTCATACGCCTATTGACAGGTATGAATGGCCCAGTGTCAATTGGAGGTCATCTAAAGTGTTGTAGGTCGGGTGGATCCCTCTATGCCACGGTCAAAAAGACTTCTGACAGATGACCACTCCAACATCTTCGTCTACATGACTGGACATGGAGGAAACGAGTTCCTCAAATTCCAAGACCAAGAGGAAATAAGTGCATTTGATATTGCTGATGCATTCGAGCAAATGTGGCAGAAAAAAAGGTGGGTTTTCCCTTCGCATTGTCGTATTCGAGGCTCACCATGGAGCAGATACAACCAAATTTTATTCATGATTGATACCTGTCAAGCAAATACCATGTACTCTCAAATTTATTCCCCTAACATTCTTGCCACCGGGTCCTCTCAGATTGAAGAGAATTCTTACTCTGTAAGAATTCCACACTCCGTTTGGTTCAAAGTGCTCATGATGTCGTGGATCTAGTATGAAAATGACAATGATATCGGCGTCTCCGTCATTGACAGCTATACACACTACGTCCTCAAATTCATGGAAGGAATAAATAAGACGAGTCAGGCATCTATGCAAGATTTGGTATTCTACTTTATCACTGGTCTGATGCGTGTGTTCATTCTTCATTGTGACAGTTCGATTCATATGACCCGGTGAAGATTTACTCTCATCCAGGCATCCGGTCTGATCTTTTCCGACGTCCCTTGGACAAGACGCTTATTACCGATTTCTTCGGAGGCGTCGCACAAGCTGAAGCCTTCCCATTACAGGACATCGTCGGCTCAAGTAACCACCATGGGAATGATCCTACGCCCCCTACCTCCCGGAAGCCTGACGCACCGTCTGTACCGGTGGCGTTGTCGCCGACTGTTGTCTCCCTCCCGAGATTGACAGGTGAGACGCATGCATGGGATAATCGGTGGAAAGAAGCCAGAAAATGGACCTCCATCTTTGTCGTAGGCTGTCTTATATCCTGGGTTTCTTTTGTGCGGTAATGCCATATCGGTTTCCCTAATCTATCCTGAGTCAGGGGCCTTGAAGATCCATGTTTGACTTTCACTAATCATGTACCATCCTGCTTCTCACGGCACATTTCTGGTCTGAGACTACATAGATCTACATGCGTCCATAATGTGGTAGTTGGCTCATACGATGACGATGCGGGCCCCATATTAGTTCCGCGCAGTAGAACCTTCACATGCAAGCAAGATGACAGCAATAAGATCTCTGTTGTCCGTATGCAACCTTGGAACAAAAGAAACATTGATAAATCTTATTCTCCCATCCACGAGGCTTGAGCCTTCTGGCTGCAACCCGGGTATCCCTTCACAATTTCAGCTTTGCGAAACCGACTTCAGTGTTACCGACATCGAAGATCGTGTACACGTTTTGCAAAAATACATCGCCAATAATCCAGTGTTCTTCCTCAATACTTGAGCATACTCGTGCTGTATTCATTTATAGCACGTACCTCGAATCCCGGGCATGCCAGTCAGGCCGGCGATGCAATCCGTAGAGCCTTCGTGAACGGGCCCCAGGTTGAAAGTACTTGACGAGACAGGGAACAACCGTCCGCCGAATGTCAAAGTTGGCGCATATAATCCGATCATATCACAAGGTACTGCATTAAACCTGTCAGGGTGACTACCCCAAAGCCGGAGCATGACCAACCTGTCCAGATTTCATCGACAGCCCTTGCGCCCTTGACATTTTTGTAGTACTTCACAGCATTTTCTGGATCTGTGACGATGAAGGCCGTCCCTGTGTCCACGATAGCCTGTGCTTTGTCAGTAGGGACAATCATATTCTCTCCATTCCGGGAGAGCCTGTCGAGTTGGATCTGCCAGTAACCTTTGATTGTGACCGGGACAATCGTAAGAGTGTCTGGTTCGTACATTGACGGGTTTGATCCTCCGATACGAAGCTCACTTTTGTCCTTTTGAGTGGACAAAGAGATTCCGAACACATTCTTGCGCAAGACATGGTTGTCCACGAGGGTCTGGAAAAGGGGCGTGGCACCGTATGAAGAAATCTCTTGGAAGGCAAATCCAGCGAGCCCATCAGGGGCATTAGAAGCGGCAAAGTCAGGATAGTATGTGTCAGCGGCACCAAGTGTTTGATTAATCGCCTGGTGAGAGTGAGCACTGAATGGCAACATGATTTGATTGCAATTTGTCCCCCGACCTTGTATCCAGCTAACTCCACTACGTCTGTGTATTCATCTCCGCCCATCTCCGTTCTATTTCCATATTTCACAACGAACGGCGTACTGAGGTCAAGAGACGTTGATGATGATGTGGCATTGTACCGCCGATGCCCGGCGCAGGAGATGCAGCATCGTACGGAACAGAGGAGCAGGTCTGCGGAGCCAGTGTCGATTTGGACTTCAGGGGCATTAGCATAAATGATCATAGATGGCCAGGCGACTGAGAGTACTCACCTGTGAATGGTTCCGGAGGCTCCCCAACCGCGATGGAGCCATACCATAAAGTGGCACTTTGATTTTTTAGGGGGACAGAGTTTCTGTCACCGGTTAGAGACCCTGTGCTACGTTCGCCGAGTTTATAAGGAGGACCACGATTGCGCAGAGAGTGAGGCGAGCCTGTGTTCAGCACATAATTGCGCGAGGTGACGTTGTACTTGCTGGTGAATGTCAAAAACTACATTTCCGCTAAAAATCGACGGATAAACTCACTGAGAAACGGCCGTGAGATGTGCCTTCACATCTGTTATGGTTGTATCTCCGGATATTCTACTCAGCGGGATACTGATGGTGTTTCTTTGGTAGGCATCTAGAGGTGATGCCACAATGAAAGAGACGAGACAGCAGAGCGTCAGTAAAGCTGTGGAAGGACGCATGATGTCGACCTGTCGATCTCAGGGTGAGTCGGTGCTTGCTTTTATGACTTTCAAGGCCGGCCATGCTATTTGGCCATACATGCACGCGGCAGAGATGACTAGACCACGGTTTCCAACGACTTGACAGGTTGTCAAGTATGCTATCTGTCGGGATACCTCAAATCCTACATGAGAATGGACCGAGGTGTCTCGCTGCTCGGCAGAGATACGGACAGCAATGACTTGAGCGTGGCACAAAAAACAATCCTGTCGCCCTTTATCCATACAAGGTTCAATGAAATATTGTCAACATACAATGGTGCTACAAGACTTATGTACATTACTTGGAAAAAGCCCTCAGCATTCATTCGTCGATGCGAGTCCCGTTGGAATTCATACACCACTCTAACACAGCACAGGGCGGCCACAAGCCATCCGGCTCGTCACCCGCGTCTTGAAGGAGCAATGCCACGACACCGTGCGGCGGAACAGCGTGGGCTGTGAAGTTGCGAACTGCAGTGCCGTTATCTGTATGCGTCCAAAGGTCCTAGACAGACAAAGCAAATCAGAAGGCCGCGGACAACCTGCATGAGAGATGAAACTTACCCGGACAGTGTATTGTTTGCCAGCTCGGATCCACGGAGATTCAGTCAGCCTGAAGAACATGTCGGCGGGCTCATCCAGTGTGTTCAACTGTATAAATTCGAATTATATGAATAACACGTCTAAAAGAGAATACGAACGAGCATAAACACAGTCCCGTTCTGACTCTCTCCGCTCCAATATTGTGCAGGATGTGTGTCGTTGCTGACCCAATCAGACTATCGATGCAATGTGACATCAATGACGTGGACCTCCGATTAACAGCAAATAAGTTAAAATGACTTACATTGATGCCCCACCGGAAAGGTGAGATGCTAGTGCCTACAACCGAGTCTTGATGAATCGCAATAATTTCTGGATTGGTCAGAATCTCAAGGGTTCCTTTGGTAGCAGAAGCGAGCTAAGTTGGACGTACGTGAGCGGAGCGTTCGTCAGCAGGGATCGGGACTTACATGAGTGCCAATAAGTAAAGGTGACTTCAAGAGCGCCCACGCAGTAAAATGGGACTTCGCTTCTTCGTACGTGAGGGGGCCATTACCACTGTCGATTGTGAGGTGACAATCAGACTCGGCCTCTCAATGACGTACATTTCAAGCTACAAAAACTCGTGTCAGCGCAGCCAACAACACCACAGAACATGACTAACGATATCCATGTCATTATGGCCGTAGAAATCAGTTGCCCAAGTATAGAACGAGTTCCTGGAAGATGATATGAATTACTCTAGGATAAGCAACGCGGCTTCCTTACTGGTTTAATATTTTGACGATTGATTGCCAGTTCGGTTCTTGCACACCGATCAGTCGCTTCCTCAGTGAAAGATTTCCAGGGGTTTGAACACTTACCAATATCGTCGGTCGTCTAAAGTATTCGTTAGCTTCGAAAAATTTGTGATACGTGCTCTATCTCACCCTCCAACTTTGCCCATATCTGCGGGCCCAAGTCCAGCCTTGCTCCTGCAAAAACAGTCCATAGTCCAAAAATTGCAACGAAATGGAGTCTCACCCTTCCCCACTGGCACATCGACAGAATCAAGGGCGGTGTTCCAGACGACAGTGAAAAATCACCAATGGCGTTTGCCATACGTTCGTATCCTAGACACGTCAGTGAGGATTCTGACAGAGGTGAAGAACATGAGTACATACTTCCCATAATATTTTCCCGAGTGATGTTGTCGAATGGAACTGACATATATCGAGCAATTACGAAAAGGGCATGAGGTGAGTCCGCGTACCAGCACAATTATCATATCTATCAATAATCACCGTCAAGAACAGCGTTCAAGTCAGTAAATCGAGACTTACTTGAGATAATCAAAACCCCAGTCATGAAAGCGTTTTGCGTCTCTGCTAGATATGATCATAATGTAATGACCAGGAGCGGAATTGCTGACCTTGCCTCGTTCTGGAATGAGCCAGGATACAGCTGGCATGTGAACCAACCCGAATCACTATACTGCATGACAGGGACATGGTTAGGGATACAGGAATGACTGAATGACAGGTCCTTACGATGCCGGCTTTCCTGCGTGCGCCAAAGAAAAATCTCAGTGAAATGCAATTTTAGATGTATATAGAACATCTCACGCACAGTCCGAGATCATGGATTTTGTCTGTGAGAGCCTTCATTCCAGACGGAAACTTCGTCGCGTCTGGCCGTGGATGTTAACATATGAACCGTCAGGAAAAAATAGTTGGACCTTCAACAATATCACCATCATCGTTTCTGCTTTTCTCTGAATAACAATCATCAATGTTGACATATGTATACCCAGCATCCTAGTGGTGATACCAAGTTCAGCCACTCTGAATAGGGCCGACGGCGAACGATACTTGCCGCCAAGTTGAGCGATTTCATAAGCTGTGCGTTTTGTAAGATGAGATCCTCGTCTATGTCGCACTAAAAGATCTGAGTTAAAACCTTCCGAACTAGCTCCATACCACCCACATGGTATGCATTCCAAGCTGTGCGTGATGCGCCAGGTCAGTATCGACAGCTTTTTTCTGAACGTGGAAACCTACTGTTATAGCCCATCACTTATCACCACATAAGATGAACGAATTGGCGAGTACTGAATCTTGAAAAACGCACCTGGTAGTTTGGCAACTCGGTTATCCAGTGTAGCAGAAACGCGGTGAGGGGCATCATGACGGTGGGCGAGGTATGTGGTATATCCCAAGATTGCAGCCAAGGCTAATGGAAGAAGGACAACAAACGATCTGTTAAGCCTCGAGCGAGCTTATGAACGTAGACATGGTCAACATTCACTGCCTCCCGGTGAAGCTCCGGGAATTGTCATACCAGTATATGCTGGACCTCCAGCTCCATGGGTAACAAGAGGGTTCTTTTGAATATGCGCAACTTCCAGCTTCATAGCTAAAGGATGACAGTTGGGGTTGTCAGTGTAATGGGCGATGCTATTGTGGGGAAAAGCTCGGTCTGTTTAAATCACGGAAGCAATAAGGATACTCGCACGACGGAAGCTATGTATATGTATTATGTACACATGGTATAAATAAATAAATCACGTAGGGAAACGCGCATGGCGAACTCGAAGAGCAAAGAAAATTCTCAACGTTCAACGCAACGTCCATTCCTCCGGCAGTCATGGACTCATAGGAGCGGTCAGTGTCGGAAAAAGTTATTTTTGCTTGGCATTAATGTGTTGCTCGTTGAATGGAAGATGGGGTATGGTATCATGAGCATCATCGAGATCAATACCGGTCAACATCACAGCGGCAGAGTCATCACCAAAATTCCCCAAGTCTGAAATTACCTTATGCGGACACTTTCCCGCGCCACAATCTTTTACGGACTGATGACGCGATGACGATTGATGGCAGGTTCAACAACACTCCCTCACACATACCTCAACACCCTCCTAAACGCGTAAGGCTGCCATCAGTCTGATGTGCCGCTGGTAAGTTCAGATTTCCCCTGATATGTTATTACCGTATCAATTGACCAATGTGTCACACGACAAAATCATTACATTGTCGTCGATCGTGTTTTCGTCAATGCACACAGTGTTACATTTACGCGTCGTTCGGTGTCACACAGCTTACTCTGCAGCTGGGCTCTGCTTCTCGCGCAACATTCTGTAAATATCACGAAGTCTTGTGTTCAAGTTTTACTACTGACACCAAAAGTTAGAATGTTTTGGGAATTCCAGGCAACTCCATTTCCCTCCTTTCTTCTTACCACCATCTTCCCAACAACTTTTCTCGCCGCCGCTGCCTTCCTCCACTGATTCCACGAGTCTGAGTGTTTCGTGGATTCAGGTAGTATAAAAGGTATTTTTCAACACATATACTCATGTTTACTAAGTAGACGAGTCTATGGGCCCTTTTGCCACAGTCGAAGGTACATCCCCTCTAGCGACATCGCCGACGGTTCAATGTATTAGTCGTCCCTATTGCTTGCCTGCTCTCGCCTGCCTCGTTGCCTCACAGTCGTCTGCTCTCGCTTGCCTGCTCTTGCCTGCCTCATTGCCTCGCGGTGTGGTCTCGCTTGCCAGCCTCGTTGCTGCGTTGTATTTGCTGCCGTCGTGTTGATCCTGTCGTGTTTCGCATTGTTATCATGTTTTCTGGTCGCATATCACATTTTCTGATCGTGAGTCGAGGGATTTGTATCATTAGGTTATAGCACAATTGACAGGAATACAACCGATTTTGTTTTACACACGCAACTGAGAGAAATGTGGCTACAACATTCGACAAGATTACAACGGATGCGCAATATTATATTAGTCTCCACAGCGAGTCTCCTATTGTGAAATATGTTGCTCCCAAATTCATCATATTTCGCGCGATTGCAACCGTTTTCAAAGGCCATGTTCAGTTTTTCCTGCAGGGTTGACTTGTGTCACTGGGCAGTGCGAGAGTAATGCGATGATCATGTGCGTTATTGATACGTGAACCAAACATCACGTCAATAACACCAAATATTGATAACATTATCTCGTCGGCGGTCGCGTCTTAACCCTTAGCCCTACCACCACCATGTTGGCCTGTCGCACTCAAACTCGTCTGATCCCCTATTATGATTATTTCTCGTCGTATGGGACTTCACTTGGAAAGTGTGAGCACACTACATATATACATCATCGGAGTCATCACTAGTGCCCTTGAAAGTCAGAACATGGAACTTTGGAGGGGTAAGCCATCACATAACGAAGTTGGAAGAGCAAAATCAAGTAGTCTGTTACGACAAACGGTCATGTGCGACTAGGATAATCTAACAGCGACAACCACGACAGTGGTACCGAGTGCTGAGAGTCGTCGGCCTTTACAGACAAGCAAAGGTTGCGTACTCGAACGTAGCTTGTGGTGGTTAACGAGGGGTTACGCCGAGATGATAGCAGGGTTTACAGACAGTGAGAGGCGTCACTGAAGGTACGAGTCGATGTCGAGCAGGTAGCTTTAGCGGGACAAGGAGTTCAAGGGTAAACCTAGTAAGATTAAAGTAAGGAACGTCTACTTGTAATCTTCGACCTTATATAAGGCTACTCTTCGTATCTAAGCTCAGCCTAAAGCTGGGTTCTAATCTGCTTATCTACATGAGTCAGAGATAGCGTCCATGAGGCGGGCTTCTATCGTAGATAGCGTCCATGCGGTACGCTTCCATCAGAGATAGGATCCACGTGGTATCCTTCTATCGTTATCTAGGGCACCACGAGGCTTGCCTTCTATCTTCTATCAGTCCATGAGGCAACACGAGGCTTGCCTTCTATCTTGATAACATTAATAGGTCTTCTAGACCTATGTCGTCATGTATCGTCACGTGCGGTCCAGACCGCTTATCTAAGCCGGCAGTTGCCGCTTATCATCTATCGTCATCTGTCATCATCTGTCGTCACAGAGCCAGTGATGCCCTGGTATCGTCTATAGAGCTGGTGAGGCTCCGGTGTCGTCTATAGCCATGCGTTCAGCAGAGGGCTGTCTGCCGGTGGGGGACTCGTGCCATGTTACTGTAACATAGTCTAAGCATCCACAATCGTGAGTTCTCAGATTACATGCCAAAATATAGCGCATATATTGACTTTATTTGATCTCGCAGTCTTCTGAGAAGATCTTGTCACTCGAAGTGCTAGACAACCCAAACCCTCCCAAGTGAATTCTCCCTTGGCAGGTAATCTAACGAACTATCTGATGCAGAACTCTGCGCAGCTCACAGTACCTGAAAAGGGAGCCAACGAACTTCTGAACATGGGTGTTGACCATCCTAGACTAGCACAATCTAGGTGTGTCTAAGTTTTCGTTTATCCATGTACGTACATTGCTGACAAGCATCTTTGCTCATTTCTGTGTGCTTGTGCATGCCTATGCCTATCTCAACGTGTCTGCATCTGATGTCTTGCACAATAGGTACAATTTTTCACATTTATAACTATAGCTGATCATTTGTGTAGGAACTTACAATGCACAATACCGGGTATCATCTACACACCAACCCAGCCGCACATGGTGGCCACCTCTGCTGGTCTTACATCATGTCATGTGCGTAATTGTTCTTGTGGTTAGCGCTGGAAGGCTGAGTGTGTGTCTTCAGATCCCATTGCTAAGCGGTCTTATCATCAGATCCGCTGACCATTCGCTGGCTGTCAGGAAAGTAGGATATGGATTGAATCAACTCTCCATGACCCTTCAAAGTCGTTACCGGTTTCAGAATCGATTTCGTGGCAGCTGCCTTCGTCAATGTGGAAGCCATGGCTGCGTCTCCACGAGCAGTAGTCAAGTACAGGAAAGGTAGTCATTGGGTGCATTCGAATTTCGAAGGTGAGGTCTCCTGGTGTCAGTGTAATTTATGAGTCATGACTGACGTGAGCAGCGATTTGAAGATGGGCCCTCTGGTAAAGCCAAACATCAGTTCATTTGCGCTGGAAGTCCAGATGAGATTTTCGTGTTACCGAGAGGTTAGCGAAACTGGAAATATCCAGTCCTGGCATCGATAACAGCAACTGGCGCCCTGGAGGTTGTCATTGGCAATGCGTAGACTATGAGAGCGTGTTCGAGTCATAACTCCGCAACCCATGTGGATAGCAAGCCTGATTCAGAAGGGGTAGATGCAGGTGCTGGTGTACGGTTCATCTCATTGTCGACACTGCTTTTTCTCACTCAGGATGTGTCTTTCTCGTCTGTCTGTCTGTCTCATTTGCAACATTCAAGCCGCTGTCCACTCATCGCATGTTTCGCTCTTGTCGTCGTCCCACTTCTCATTCGCAGTTCGCATTCAAGCTGCTGTCTAATCATTCTCTTGTTGTGGTTGTCATACCGAGTCTCCTTCAGAAGCTTTGGCGCATGTCTGCTCTTAGAGAAGCTTTGGTGCATGTTCCGCTCTTAGATGTACTTTTACTTTCTGCTCATACCATGTAATGCAATACCGAAATGAAATGGTCTTATCAGAATTCATCACCAGATCAGAACGTATAAGTAGTATTGGCATATCAATGCTTCTAAGCTCAAAATCTGCGCTAAGGTACGAGTTACTTACCCAACCTCCGCCGTCTTATCTTCAATCGAGTTTCTCAACCAGATCTTATAAGTTGTTTCCCCAGCCTTCCGCACACTGATACACCTGGTGTACCTTTTGCGACCTTGTGCATCCTGGTCAGTCATTATCAGCCCTTATCCGAGTTGGGGAATTTCAGTGATGGTCAGAGGCCTGATCATACGAGATTGTCCAGTCTATTTACGAGGTGCATCACTCACATTTTCGTTATTCTCCGACACAGAACACAGAACTGAAGTCTTTTGCCTTTTCTTCGATGCTCGTGCTAATACCAGGTTGTCTCTCGAGCGCTTCTGCCCGCGTGTTTTGTTGCCCATGGTGCAAGGATAGTGTCGGCAACACGGCACGGCACATTGACTTTACACTCCGCTAACAACAGTTTCTGATATTTCAAATAACAAATGTTCTACTCCATTTCTGTTAATTCTGATTAACGGAAAATGTTCGTAGTATTACTACCAATGTAACTGAGTAGCCGTTTGATGCATAAGGCTCCCGATTAATTGATATTACAATTTTTGTCTTCAGTCACTTTTTCATCACGCTTGTCACGTGAGGTAGGTAGAATCCGCACGGCTGCTACTAGCCTCAGAGGGGTCCCACCTTTGGAAACCTTTTTTTTTTTGGAAATTTCTGACATTCACAATCAAACTAACGAGTAAGTTTCCAGTACTGCAGACAAGATCCACACTTTGTGGGAGCTCTTGTACGGTTGTGTAACGGGCCACGGTGCAGTGAGAATGAGAAAAAAATGCATGATTGATTGCAAGCGGATGGTTTTTTTCGGGCGAAAGCCCCCGATACTGACCCCAACTGAGCTGCGAGGCCTGCGATTCCTACATCAGTAGGAGTAAATGTGATGCAGCAAAGCGAACTTCGGATCCCCAAATCGTAAGAGCTGCAAAGCAACACATCAAGATGAAGGCGAAGCCAGATGAGGAGACAGTTAAGTAACAAAATAGTAAGGTGTCCGCGTGAGCATAAGTGCGGGCATCTGTGTCAATACAGGCATCCGCGACAATGCATATCCACGCCAGATCAATGCAAGCATCTGCGTCAACGCAGACAACCAGGTACGTGCGGGCATCTGCAGGCATTCGCATCCACGAAAGTACATACACACAACAGCACATGTTGGCAAGGACGGAGCTCTCGCTCGCCACTGGCAAAAGGTGTCATGATGACTTTTTAGATCATCCTTCCCTCTATCAGGATCTCTGATGAGAAACCTGACGAGGGTTCATAACGGTGAACTTTCTACACGAGCATTGAGAGAGCAGTGCAGTAGCACCTTCGAGTGCTCTCTACTCATGGCCAGATTCCCCGCCGGACTTGCCCTCATTGCATGCAGATGCACGCGAGGATCTGAGCCATCAGAGCTCACCGGCCTGAGTTTGTGGCAGAGAAGAACATCTGAAAGGCGCCAGAGCTTGCTGGCCCGGCAATATAGCCTGGGCGCTGCCGGTGATGCGCAGTTCGAAAGAGAGGCAGTCAGCTTATTCTATGTGACCATACACTCGTACCTCGCTTTAGGGTAGAATTCCAATCACTTAGCGCCCCCGTCTGTGGCTTTCAAGATTATAGAATATAGCTCACGAGACTTTGCGACAGAGCCCAAATCGATTTGTAACTTTTCCAGTAAATCGAGAGGAGCTGACGAGAGTAATATGTTACAACAACATCCGTTTTGCCCACCTCGGCATCGCGATGCACTCCCGCACATTTTCAATTCCGCTCATCCAGCTGATTAGACGTTCAAACCCCAGCCCATAACCTCCATGAGGCGCGCTTCCATACTTCCTTAAATCCACGTACCATCCGTATTCTTCTTCCTTGAGCCCATGCCTCCGTATAGCCTCGACCAAATGAGAGGACCTCTCTTCTCTGAGCGACCCACCCACGAGCTCACCGATGGAAGGAACTAGAAGATCAAAGCACGCTACAGTCTGCCCGTCATCATTAGCTCGCATATAGAATGGTTTCAGGGAAGTTGGGTAGTCTGTGACAAACACAGGGCCGCCAACAAGTCGTTCCGAAACCCAGCGCTCGTGCTCGCTTTGCAATGCTCTCCCCCACGCAGGCTCGAATTCGAATCCGACTCGAGAAGAAGCATGGTAGTTCTGCAGCTCATTTACAGCATCAGTATATGATATGCGTGTCCAGGGGATTCCTGGGCGCGATGCATCTTCCAGAGTTTTGAGTTTTGCTTCGTCGCCATCTTTCCAAAGGAGGGCGTGTTCTGATCGACACTGGAGGACATTTTTGAGAGACTCCTCGACCACATCACATATGTTCCCGACGTGGTTAATAAATGCCCATTCAGCTTCGAGCATCCAGAATTCGGCGAGGTGCCTATTTGTTTGGGAACGTTCTGCCCGGAAGCAAGGAGAGAGGGTGTAAACCCGAGACAGGGAAGCAGCAAGGGCCTCTAGATGAAGTTGCGAAGATACAGTAAGATATGCAGGCTGGGAGAAGAACTCGGCTTGTGCGCTTGGATCGGGCGATTGCCTTGAAGGAGGGGCGGAAGAAGCGGGCGAGACACGAAACGTTTCACCACCGCCCTCGCAATCGTTTGAAGTCAGAATGGGCGTGTGCACGTAATGGAAGTCTTGGGCCTGGGTTCGGATGTGTCAACAACAGGGCGGACGATGGGATTTCCATTAGCACCTCATAATAACTATGTAGCATCCGAAGGACAGAGTCACGTAGACGGAGCATAGCAGCATTGATATCTGTTCGGGCCCTCAGATGAGCATTGTCCCTCAGAAACTCCACAGGTAAGGCTTGCTTCTGGATAGGGTAGGCCTTCAAAGAGTTTCAATTGACAACCTTTTACGCATCAATAACACGTACCTCTGGGTTACATTCGCCCAAGATATCAACCGCCTCAACTTGCAGTTCATATGATTGTCCACGGCCCATACTTTGAACCAGATTGCCACAGATGCGGACACTGGCGCCATTGGTTAAGCTGAGGGACAGTATTATAGACCTCTATGTTCAGAAATGCCTTGGGAACATACTTGTGTGGGGTAGCACCTGGCTTCAAGACTGCTTGCAGGCCGGAAGCACAACTTCCATCATTAATCACCGCGAAAGTGACATTTTTCTGTCTTCGTACAGATTTGATCCAACCACTTAATTGTACTTCAACTGCCTGGCCAGTCGGTGGCAAGGAAGACAACAGCTGTCGGATCGTTGGCGGCAACGACGTTGAAGCTGTCGCAAAACGGCGCAGGAGCATGGAAGAAGAAACTTGCACAGCCACACGTATCTTCGAAACCATTTTTGTTGTGATCTTGGTATGGTCTGCAAAATGACTCAAAGCCACACGGGAAACCTGGCAGGATAACTCATAAATAACTGATACAAACCGAGCGAATGTGTAGCTCGGTGCAATATTTTAGCATTAGCAAAAAAACAGAAACACGATATACAGATGTGACAATGCAATACGAGCATGATATTTTCAGGACTGAACCATCAGAAACCCCTTCCTCGTCCCCTTCCCCTTCCTCGGCTACGCCCGCGGTCAACTAACCCCCCTCTTGCACGGCCCCTTCCGCGTGCATCATCCTTTTTCCTGCCTTTGGGTTTTGGTGCGTCATCCACTAATAGAGTATCAAGAGGGAGGGCATCGGGAAGCACGAAGTAGCGGATATTGTTGCCGCGGATAGATAGGGAATCGAGGGATGTTGGGTCCCGATTACGGGCTGTCATTTTGACAGTTTTGAGGTGGGTATTCATCTGCATATCTACACCTGTAAAAATAATTTAGATGTTGTAAAGTATTAGTTTTGTTCAGATCTGACACACCAGTAATTGTGCCATGGACTACAGAACCGTTCTTGAGCTCAATAGTCACGGTCTCATTATTGAGTTTCATCAAGAATCTGATGAAAACAAGGGTCAGCGCCCGATCTTTGTAATGCACAAAATGAAAGTTATCTTGAAAACGTCAGACCAAGACGAAAGAAACGCCTGCAGTATTCACCTTACGAGCTTCATGGTGGATTACGTCGATCCTGCAGCTGTAGTACTGTCTGAGGCTGATCGAGTGTCGAGTCGGCGCCCCTGTTGACTCTTGTTTGTGTGGTGGATCGTCGGCGGTTGCATAATACATTTTTCATAGTCCGCTGTACGCGAGGGAACGTGCTGACTAATCACATCAGCCACGACGAATTCGAGAAGATTCAATAATGACGTTGGCTTTGCCCGTCATACATTTATATAATTGTTGATTTGATTATAATCTGTGAAACTGGTATTCTCCGAATTACTAATTGATGTAATATCAATGGTTACTAGTATGTTTCCCTAGAGAAGCTCGCTGTCTTGGGAAACTCATTAGTGTTTGTTCTTATTTTGAATCTTCATATCGCCGCATGCCCGTTGCTCCGAACAGTAATTCGGCCCCTGCTGGTACGTATACCAAAGAACACTGAATATATATCTTGTGGGCTGAGTCACTGCGAGTGAAAAGCCAATTCATTTTACCGGCCTGACTAGCTCATTTTCACGAGCTCGTTGCAAGTGGCAACTCCCGCCTCCGCCCATCGCTATAAGAACAGTGCTGAGGATTTATTGCATAGTACCGAACAGAGTCTCTGGGAGTTACTAATGACTTTGTCCATGAGGACGTTCGTCGCCGCTGCAGTCGGTATACTTTCTGCAGCTACTTCTGCCAATGCTATCACGAACGGTGTTGGTAAACTGCCTGGTCTGTTTCTCAGTTCTTGCCGATGCGATGATGAAGTTCATTGACGTGTTTGATGCAGTGATGGGTTACAATGGTACGTATCATTGTTAAGAGTGCAGGAGCTCACCATTGACAATTAGCCCCTATGGCTATCAGCTTGGAACGCCTTTGCGGTAAGTGAAATTCTCAACCAAGAACAGTGACCTCATCGTAGTATTCGATAGTGCAACGTCAATGACACTCTCATCATACAGACTGCGAAATACATGAAGGAGTATGGCCTCCTGGTTAGTATCGTTGGCACATCTAATTCAGACAACTTTCACTGGTTTACTTCGTTGTAGGATATTGGCTATAACCACGTCAATCTTGACGATTGCTGGGCTATGAAGAATCGTAGCTCTACTGGCGAGGTCATGTCGGGTTGGTTTTTGTTAAAAATCGAATACATGTGCTAATCAACCCACATCAAAGATAGCATCAGGTTTCCAAGCATGAAAAAACTCACAGATCAGCTCCATGCTCTTGGTTTGTACGTGAACATGTATTGTCCGTACTACAACACCATTCACATATGCCTCCTAGCCACGCAGGCATTGTGTGAAGGTTACCTCTGACGAAAAGATACTTTCTCACTGTCAGTCTTAGTATTCCGACTCTGGCTGGTTTACCTGCGCTGGATATCCTGGCTCCTTCATGCATGAGGAACAAGACGCAATGACCTTTCAATCCTGGGGTTTCGACTTCCTCAAGTGAGCACTACTCATAATGATGACTAGAAGGTTACTAACAACTCAATTTAGATATGATAACTGCGCCAGTAAGCATATCAGTGACCAGGAGCTACCAGCCAATGCTGACCATTTTCGTTCCAGTTCCATTCGATGATATCATCCGAGAGGGCATGGTCGGAAGTGGGTAGAAGTCCTCGCACCGTAGTTCATTTCCTAAACATTTTGAGCTATAGAGTACCAGCGCATGGCAGACGCTCTCGCTGCGGTAGCGAAGAAGACTGGCACTACCCTAATATTCAGTCTGTGTGAGTGGGGCTGGGTAAGTCTCATCTTTTGTACTCATTTTTATTGCATCTCACGTATCCGACGATCTTCTTAGAGTCATGTTTGGTTGTGAGTATCAATCTCATCCTGACAATCACTGTCTCACAGGAAAAGTATAGGTGGGGTGCCCAAATTTCTCACAGTTGGAGAGTTCGGCACCTATCATTTAAACTCTGGCGACAAACTGACCAGAAATATGCTTAGATTGATAATGACATTGCGCCTCAATGGAACTCGCTTTCTAGTATCATCAACTCGTCAGTCACTGCTTCACGAGACCTTCTTCTCCTAATATTCAATACAGCGTGTCGTTCATTACTCAAGCTACTGACCACTATGGGCGCAATGATCTCGACATGGTAGGTACAGCCGAAGGTCTCGTTTTTAATAGTACTTAGTATATCATTCAAATGACAGCTCGAAATAGGCAATGGAGACCTCACGTACGACGAAGCAAAAACCCACTTTACTGTGTGGGCTCTTGTTAAGGCCCCCCTGCTCATTGGCACCAACGTGGGTACTTCATTCCTTCCCAACAATGCAGCTCTCCAGCGCTCCTCACGTTTAGCTTGCCACCATAAGCCAGGAAATGCTCAGTATCCTGAAGAATCAAGAAATCATCGCAGTTAACCAGGACCCCATCTATGGCACTAGCATCTCGCCCTTCCGCTGGGGCAACAATGTACGTTATTACCTTCTTGGTGTTTTTTTGTCATACACATCCTTGGCTGAACAGCCTGACTGGACCTACGATGCAACACACCCTGCTCAATACTGGAGTGGTCCCAGTGAGAAAGGAACGGTTTTCATGCTTGTACGTCATCTCAGAACCTCGGTATCATAATCATTTCAATAATGATCTACTCCAGATTAACACTTTGGACGAACCGGCTAACCTGTCTTTCAACCTCACCGAGTCTCCTTGGATTCGCGCCGGCATCCAGTATTCCGTCCGGGTAGGCCCTCCCACACCACGTGGCACTTCGCAGTCATTATTAATCATTTTTTTTGGGATAGGATTTGTGGACGCACACGAACAATGGCACCGCTGTGCGTAGCTTCACGGCCATGAATGTCCCCGCGCATGGTGTAGTGGCGCTATTGCTCAATGAGGATGGGAATGAACCCGCTGGGTTGGTGCCACCCTGTGCTGGCGAGGCTCTTTCACAATGCACTGCTCAGGATGGGACGAAATACTCATGAGCCGCGTCTAGTCTTACCTCTGACTCAGGAAGTAGCCGCAATGAATATTTATTCGTTTTATCGTTGCGGTCTGTTGTCGATACAGTATCACAGTCACTTTGGTTTGGTTAACTCAGCGTGTCTACATATATTTCTCGACTTGAAAATTCAACGAAAAATTCGAAGGATCGAACCACGCGGATTTGCTAGAGTTGTTGGCTGATATGTCGGTCCTACAATTCTATAATTATTCAAATGAAAGGAATCTACAAAACGAGATTGGAGATCACCCCGAGAACCAAGAGCAATTTTGAAAGCCAGCCCTGCTGCTGTGTGGCTTGTTACGATGTGTCTAACGTATACCAAGCACAATCGGCCGTCGTACCCATTGCTTAGAGTGTTGGGGGAACCATCCGCGAGTCCAGTACCGACAGTATACCTTCATATGTGGCTTCTATGGTCTGGAGGTACTCCTCCATGTTCTGATCTTGCATGTTGCCAGCGGGTACATCCAACGTAAACGATGGCTTGAAGCGGAGATAACCAGAATACTCGGGGATATCAGCGTCTAGGGATAGCGGAATTCCTCCCTGTCAGACACAATGTATCAATATATGACGAGCCAGAACCTGAGATTCAGACATACTGCCACAGAAGTGAGATATGTCCAAGCTCGCGCGGCATTGGGCGTGTTATAACCACCTAAAGCCTAGGATGGTATGCGGGAAGATGTTCTGATAAGTAGCACCATACCTCCGCCAAGTAACATTTTTTTCCCTTGCCATTCGTGGATGATGCGATGTATGCACCAGCCGAGCGAGCCTTCGCCACCTAAGGACCAGTTGAAGGTTGCCATGGGATCGCCCGCTAGGCCATCTAAGCCACACTGAACTATAATGAAATCAGGTCGAAAGATGTCCTTGACATGTTCGATGATAGGCCAAATGCGGAGGAATGTTTTGTTGGATGCACCAGCTTTGAGTGGCACTGATAAAGTGAAAGGATCGAAGGCCGGATCATCGACGTCCGGAAGGGAAGCGAGGGGAGAAAGAGGGAAAAATCCTGGAGCTGCGTGATGGATAGATAGTGTCTGAAAATAATTATTTGGGTCATATATTGTCAACGACTCGAGGTGCACGCACAAGAACTTGAGCAGCAGTTGTGGAACCAGGTTTGTGAAAAGCTTGTGACACTGCATCTGAAAAATGAAGGTCAAGGTCGAGATACATCACACGTGGTTTCTTCAACGGGTGCGGATGTGTAGAAAGTATTGTTCGTTTGAGAAAAAGAATAGCGAGAACGCAATCAGCTACGTAACAAAAACCTGAAGCCCGTGCTTTTTTGGCGTGATGTCTGTATATGATGACACTGAGATTGCAAGGAAGGTTCGCTATGAACTAAGCGAGCACTTGCCTTCCGCCATCCCAGCAGATGGCTACGTCCGAACTATCGTCTCTAATCACAGCCGCTCCAGTCAAGGTAGCTCCAGCGACTAGTGTGATGTAGTCTTTGATTCCATGAAACATGGGGCAGTCCTACATAGTGATACACTGACAGGTCGCGAAACGACAAAATCTGTTTGATATACGCACGTCTTCAAGCCCAAACTCTGAAGCTTCTAGCAGGTTCTGCGCATCGCTTGATTGATTCATGACGTATTCGAGATAGTCACGAGTATGGTAAGCCAAGAGCTCCTTCTTGCCAGCAGGCCGTGGTCGCACAACCAGGAATCGTTGGGACTCTTGACCAGTGCATGTTGCCAGAAGTCCATATGCGTGAACGAGTGAATAGACGAGGAGAGAACGGTTTCTATTGGAGGGTAGACGTGAAGATATCTGCCACGGTGGTGCAGAATACGCGAGAGAATGGATTAGACATCACTTGATATGGATTCGTAGGTACTCGTGCTCACTTTGACTAGGTCTTCTGAGAAGATGTAGGCCACGGGTCTAGCATGCAACCCAGTAGATTCGACGGGGGAGTCCATCATTGAGTCTAGTCTGTCACGGCGGCACGTCACGGTAGTCACGTACCTGGCAGTCGGCAAAATGAGTGTAAATACTGCTTCAATCTTCTTTCTTACATGGATTTTTCATCAACGACACCAATTGAGAGTAATATCCAGCCTATATGTCACGGTATACGAGCAAGTACACCCTTTTCGTACGTAGAATGACCGATTGAGATATGTACAATTCAAACGCTGTGACTATTAGCACCTTGTTAATGCAGATTTTGTACCCTTTCGATACGATAATACGAAGGGATTGACATGATAACCCAATTAAACTCAGTTGTGAGGTCACTGGTTAGGCTTCATTAGTAGACAGTGCCCTCCGCAAGAACTGGATCGATTCCTCCTCCTGCCGACCAAATATTTCAAGAGCTTCTTTGATCTTTCGAGAGGTTTCTGCATCTTTTGGAAGTGCAATTTGCAGGGCAGCTGCGTTGTTGGACAGATAGTCGACATCAAACACTGTATTTCAAACTTAAGATTGTGGTTTGAAATCGAAAATCCAACAAACAAACCAGACTTTTCTTCGATCACTTTCAATGTGACAGCGGCCAACTCATCATCTGATCTTCCGGGAGCAACAGCGAGCAGAGCGAGAACCCTGTCTGAAATTGTCAAATGATGTGGACGAAGTCTTGCTAGAGCAACAGCCTGCAAAAGTGATACGCATGAACTTGCAGGAGTTCGTCAATCTCAATGCTCACCTCGTCTACTGTAATGATACTGGTTGCACAAAGCAGGTTGAGTGGATTATACTTTCAGGGGTAAGTACAAATTTACCTCGCTGGCATTACAGTCGTGCTAATTTGTCTCTCCTTGAAGGCTTGTATGATGGAGTATATGATCGGTGACATAGGATGCTGCCGAACGGGGTCGCTGTATTCAATGTATGAGGAGGAACCTTCAGGAAAGTGTACTCGTAATTCTGGAGGCTTTGATTAGATCTCACCTATAGAACCAAGTCTGGAAAGCCTACCATTGAAGTAAGGTGCAATATAGAGACATCCCGCCTGCGATGCTGCCATAGCCTGCGGGACAGAGAACAAACAAGTTGCGAGTGTACGTATGCCACTTTCCTCTAGCTCCTTACACGCAAGGATACTTTCAGGAGTGGCTGGTATTTTTATACATACCCTATCTCTGTGAGAAGCACTATCAGTCTGCCTTCTAAAAGATGAACTAGAATGTTCTACCCACCTAGATATGCCGTGTTTGCCAAAGACACCGATAAGAGCCTTTGCGTGTGCAACGGTGGCATCTTTGTCGTATGCTGTGCGAGGGGATGTCTGTACGAGAACCCTACCCGTCTTGTCCAGATAAGGAATAACTTTGCTAGCTAGAAGGATAGTCTAGATGACAGAATTTCGAGTTGATTGATGTGCACTGTGATCCCAATCATACATACCACGAGGTCGAGCACCTTCAAAATACCATCCTCTGTTGATATGTCGATTGCGGCGTCTTGAACATACTGAGACACAAGGGGTTCCAGGTTCACGTCCCACTGTGCTTGTAACTGGCCATTGACAATCGCCTGGTTAGATGTCATGGAATGAAACGTCGTCGAGACAGACAAGGATTCAGCTGCCTTGGCATCCATTGAATCGATGTCCACAAGAACCCCTAGGGCTTGTATCTGCGACAGTAAGGTATTCGCCATGATAGCAATTTGATAGAATCAGTGAGTATCAAGGTTGATCTCGAAGTGCCTCCGAGTGTATCCCAAACCCCGTGTACATATTATTACGTACCGGTCACGAGCAAATCGGACATGCACTTTTTACCGTCTCTTTCGTACCCGTTATTGCCCACTACAAGGAGAACGTTTCTCACAACCCTTGGCGCTGGCCAATGCTAGTGGGAGATGTCTACCAAGTGTGTCCATTGCAAGTACTTCCCTCTTTATCTTTGGAAAGCATTCCGCGTCTCATTGCCCTGGTCTCTGCAAGATCAACCTGAATGTGGTGGTCCATGATGTGAATGTCGCTCATAGTGTAACGGAAACGGACTGCAAGGGGAACCCAAGGCCAGACCTAGGCTACGTCTATCGAGGACAGACTACGACATGCGCGTCGCGCGAAGCTACGAGCCAGGACTCCTGCCACCGCGCCAGGACACCTGCTACTGCGCCCGGACCTACCCAAGTCTGATGGGACGCCCCGCTCCGATAGTGTAACTCTGTATCCAGAAGAATATACTTCGCCTGCTCCCGGGATGATACATAGGAGACCGGAGCCCGCCGTACGAAAAATCCAGCAGATAGATTCCATGGGTTATGATGGGTTCCATGGAGTTACGAAAGATGTCGGTAGTTGCTGGCAGGCCCTGTTTCAAGGGTAACTATCGTGACATCCTAATACCATGATGTCGCGCACCGTCACGGACCACGGTAGCTTCATGGACACGTGGGAAGTTAGGAACATCGTTTTCATGACGAGAGCAATATTAATGGGTACCGGGAGACCCCAAGTTGGAAGAGGCCAAATCATTAGCCGGACCGCCCAAGTGACCGAATTCACCGGAAGTTTTCATAGACAGGCTGGACCGTCACCAGTCTAACCGGAAGTGGCTACAATCAAACACCTCCATTGATTATATTACTATATAGTTGCGGCTTCAGAAGCTTCAAATTGAAGGAAGTTGCCTGTCGCACCTGTCGCTACTAGTTACTAGTAGTACTCACTGGCAATTAGCTTTGACAGAATGAATTTCACAGGCTAAAATCAATTACTCAAGTCAAGCTTTAACAAGTTCGGGGAGAACGTTTTGCACGAGCGAGTCCTGTGCACGGTCCTCCCACTTGAATTCTATGTGCGTTCCACCGCGCCAAACGCCGGTCTTCCCCCGACATTATGACCATCCATTGACTCTTATATAAAAAGGCATCTGGGCAGCTACGTATATCCTATCAATTGGGTTGCAAGATGCTATCCAGCCTTCTGAGTTGTGGTGTCCTTGCAAGCGCTATTTTCGCGAGTTGTGCCGCCACCGTGACGACTGTCAGTGTTGATGGCACAGCTGCCCACAGCATTCCGCCTCTGCTTTGTGAGTTGAGATATTTACCTGTGACCCTAAGTATTTTGCGTTAACATACTGCTCAGTTGGACAGATGTTCGAGGCAAGTCAATAGTGATGAAATTCGTGCTTCTTTTCTGATATGCAACATATCGGTGACTCGTAGGATATCAGTGTACGTTTCCTGTAATGTACTGTGACCTATTAATCATTTCTTCCCTCATTGTAGTATGTAAGTGCATATCATCATGGTCAAGATAATTTATAAGTGTTTTTAAAATAACGTTTACCCTCTTGCGCAGAGCGGTGATGGTGGTATCTATGCCGAGTGTCAGTGCTTCATCGAATTTACGCTCCTGGCATGCTTCTGAGGTTCTTTTTCAAGTGCTTCAAAACCGCGCCTTCCAGCAGGTGAAACCAAGTAGGATTCACGTAGCTATATTTTTCGAACTGTAATCCTTGACACGTATCTAGATATAATTGATGCTCTCTTCGGCTGGGCTCCAATCAACGGCGCATCCATCAATGTTATTGCTGACCCCATCCCGCTCTCCGGTGCCCTGCCCAACTCCCTTGAGCTCACCATCCCATCTGGCTCCTTAGGTCAAGTAGGATTCGGCAATGAGGGCTATTGGGGTATGTCCAATTAACCTGGGGACTTGTACATCGAGTTCATTGTTTTCCCTCTAGGCATAAACGTCAACGCCTCTTGGACTTACAACGCCTCTTTCTACTACAGATTTCCTAGGGCATCCAACTTTTCAGGAAAACTCACTGTCATGCTCCAGTCTTCTATTGGTGTAGTCTATGCAAATGCCTCCGTCCCTGTCTCCGGCTCTACCACAGCCTGGATGCAGGTCATGGTGCATCTCACTCCTACCTCGAGCCCTGTGTCAACTACCAATATCTTCACGGTCACAGTCGATGGTGCCAGCGCAATTGGAGAGACGATCAACTTCGCAATGTTCTCTCTCTTCCCTCCGACATTCAAGGGCAGGGTCAATGGCCTGCGCATGGACATTGCACAGGCATGTTTTCATCTAGAGTTGAAGTAACATGTTCTGACAGCAGCACGCAGACATTGTATGACATGAAACCTTCTTTTTTCCGTTTTCCTGGTGGTAATAACTTAGTAGGCTTTATATAGCGCCATATTTATTTACGTTAACGATCTTTTCAGGAGGTAAACATAAATATTGGCCGGCCTATTGTGGACTCGATCATTAACGCAACACTAGGGCCAAAGCTTTTCTACACGCTGGCAATGGAATGCGACGGTAGGCAACCTCACTGACCGTCCAGGACGCATGGGTAACTGGGGATACATCAACACCGAGTCCGTGCCATTCTCACGACTTTGACTCCGCCACCGATAACAAATTTCCCCCTTTTGCAGCGGTCTCGGTCTTCTCGAGTACTTGTATCTCTGCGAAGATATGGAAATGGAGCCCATTATGGCTGTATGGGCAGGTATATAACAGGCGTGCATATCATATTGTTTGCATGCTTATTTCGCGCACAGGGTACTCACTCGACGGGGCCAGCCTCCCTGAGAACGATCTTGCGCCATACATCCAACAGGCAATCGACCAGATTAATTTTGTCATCGGTAATCCAGCCACGAGTAAACCAGCTGCCCTGCGTGCATCTCTTGGCCACCCAGAACCATTCCATCTGCAGTATGTGGAAATTGGAAATGAAGACTTCCTTGCATCAGAATCGTGAGTTCCTTATTTAAAATTAACGGATGAATGAGGATGTCAATGATGCACCACAAGGTATATGTACCGCTGGAAAGATTTCGCGGAACACTTGGAGGCTACATTCCCTCATCTGAGTGAGCACTACACTGCTGCGCAGGAACTTGCCTCTGACTGATATATTTCTTTGTAGAGTTCATCGCGACCTCGCACCCCTTCAATCACACCCTTGATCCAATCCCAAAGCAGTACGATAACCACGTGTACCAGACACCTGGCTGGTTCGCAGAAAACGCGTTCTACTACGATTCTGCTGAGGTTCGTACGCTTTGCATTCGCCCTACATCATAATGGGAACCTGGCTGACACGGCCGAAAGCGCAATGGCACTTACTACTTTGAGGGTGAATATGCTGTTGTATCAACTAACGCCAGCGATCTCTTTGGAAAACCCTTCAACGGTCGCCTCGTATACCCTAATATGCAAGGTGTGTGCTCTCTCGTGGTTGTGAACCGTACCTGACGCCAGGACAGGTTCTGTAGGGGAGGCCGCATTCATGACCGGTCTCGAGCGTAACAGTGACATTGTATTCGCTGCGTCGTATGCTCCCTTGTTAATGGTGAGCTGACTTTCGATTCTGCAACCAGAGTGAACACTAATAAACGCACTTTAGAACACTGCTAACTATCAGTGGTCACCCAACCTTATTGCGTTTGAGTGAGTCGCTCAAAACAGTTGAAGATATATATCAGATTCATGTCCTTTTAGCGCGTCACACGTGTATCCATCAACCAGCTTTTATACACAACAGGTAGTGATATTTGATATCTGAGTATAACTGCGTCCCTCAAACATCTGCTGCAGCTCTTCAGTCTCAACCGTGGGACCGAATATTTCCCAAGCACCTTGCCTCTTGAAAATGGCACACTCTACTGGAGTGTCACGCGTGATGCACCCACCAACACGGTTATCATCAAGGTACTAAGGCTCTACTTATTTTGTTGGTTGTGACGATTCATATTTTATCAAGATTGCCAACACGGGCGTGACAGCTGAAGAAATGTTATTCGAGCTTCCCTTCAAAAGTGTTCACAGCACTGGCAATGCGACAGTGCTCTCAGGCTCTGCCACTGCAAACAACTCGCCCGAGACTCCCAACGCTGTCATGCCGGTCATTTCACAAATTAAAACTGGCAAGAGTTTCTCATACACTGCCGCAGCGTACAGTGTCAACGTGCTGCGGGTAGAGGCGAAGTAGGGATAGAGTATCACTCGGTGACATATGCAATAAATCAGGAATATTTCGTATGGACCGTATCATATGAAGACCGCTGCCTATACCCCAGCACCCACTCCCTCCCAGCTCCTACTACAATAGGAAGTATGGATGATATTATGTTCTATGTTGTAGTACATAGAGTCAGACACTAATAAAAAGTTGTTCGTTCAGCTTGATGGAGCGGACTGCGATGACGCTGGTGACTTTGGCATGATCATCCACAACTCCCTTTTCTGTACCATTGTGAGCTTGACGTCCTTCCCGACGTACGGCTTCAGCTAATTTCAGGAAGACAATAGATGGGGGGAAATGTTGGAGGGGCGGATATACGTGTGCGACCAAGAGTCAGATACAAATCAAGAGAATAACAAAGCAAAAGTAGTCAGAAAAGTAGCAAATTGATAACACCTATACAACATACCTCGCTGATTTTGATCTCCTCTATGCTTGGCGCGACAAATACCCGCACTTTCTCGTCCAGTAAACGGTACTTCGACGCGCCTCGGATGACATGTTTGCCTGGGGCACCCGTGCGGTGTCCACCAGGGAGAAAGGCCTGTCTAGTTCCTACGTACAGTGTGAGCGTTGATATGAGAGGACCGGTCATTTAGACAGAAACCATAATTAGAGACAGCCCGACACAGATGAGAAATTGACAGCAAGGTGTGTTCTACTATTCCAAGAGAAAGAAGTTGCTTGGCTCACCTTTATAGAAGTCCTTGTTCCCCCGCTTGGGCGTCAAAGCTCGCCGCGAAGCTTTCGAAAGACAGACAGCCGTGAAGAACATTGATGAATTGCTTCGGGTCTGTTAAACTTGGAGACAACTTCCAATCAGTTGCTTACATAATCAACTCGACTCAATAAACCTGCAATGAAATTGTTACGTGTTCGCGTGGAATCCTCAAGGGGCGAGTTGGCTTTACAGAATAAAGGTTTCCACGCGCAGACGAATGAAGTCGTACTCTGTAGCGGAAGCAGACTCGGAGGTTGTACTACCTGATAAGTACAGTTACGATGCCAATGGCTACCAGTAGTAGCTTTTTCGGTATCCCATGCGCATAATATTGTTAGATGATCATTATGGGAAGACACTCTGCGTTCCACAAAGGAGCTTGACACGTTCGCGCAAAAATTGAAACTTGAAGCCTGAAGCTAACATTGCTTTGCTGTCGTGGGGTGTCAGGCAAGCAGCTGTGAATTGACCCCAAACAGATAACACCCAGGAGCTCCCAAACCCTCTGCACTCTCGTGGGGAATGCCGTACTCATGCGAATGCAGGAACAAGTTTTTTCCTCTTTAACCTCTGGTTGACGGCAGATCCGGTGCCCGGCTCAATCTAAACGTTGTCGAGTCATATCATTATGCACCAGTCCGTCCTAGTATATGGCGAACCACGCGGCCATGAATGTTAACTCCCAGGTAATGGACAGCTCACAAGAATAAAGAAGTGATTGTCGCGTGGACGTCGCAGTACTGTATCAACAAGAAATGACCGGTTACGGTAGGCATGACATTATGTGGGCCTTGCTCTCGCGAGGACAGCCCATACAAGCCCAGGTACATCGTTTTCCATGACGTGTGTATCCACTACGTCTCCGATTACGCATTCCTCGACACCTCCACCTGTACCTCGGCCAAGCGGCACGTATTAGGTATGAACAGGAGCGTAATACATACCTCACGCTCATGCACGCGGAAGGTGAGGCGCAGCTCGTTGTCAGACTCACTATGTGCAGAGAGAAGTGAAACGAGCGCATGACAGGTTGAGGTTGCGGTCGAGAACCTGCGTGAACGGTGAAATCAGAGAGTTAGAAGTAAGAAGTAGTCTCACACTAGAAGTTGCGCACCAATCATGCAGTCCAGCCACTCTTGCCCTTTCACCTGTGCCGATTTCCACAGCCTTTTCTGCCTCTGCTCTAACACTCCTCAGCTGTCCCAAATTTTATCTGCTCTCATACAATAGCAATCTTCTCATGTGCATCTGCAAGTTCCGCGTCTAGTGCTTGGATCTCTTCGACCTGACCATCAAGTTGCTGGTTCGCTGTGGTTATTGTTAAGAGACAATGGAGACGGGCCTGTCACAACCGAGTAAGTGATAAACGTGCATCAAGTATCTTTTGTGAGAGCGTGGATGCTTGATGAGTGAGGGCTTGTAAAGAAACTTGAGCTTCCTTAGGAAAGACTATTATTGAGGTCCGAGGATCGATGGTTAAATCGCTAATAAGTCAACTAGTCACCATCCATGATTTGGACATGTAGAACACACACGATTTGTGCTTGGACATCACTCTAAACAGTCTTAGGATCTTTGAGTCCCAGAGCGCCATCTACACCGATCCACTCTTCAATGCCATAGAGAACCTACTTTCATAAATGAGTGAAACATGGCTTGTGACCAGCCTGGCATGAGAGCTACTGCAGGCACACCCATTCATAAATATCCCGTGGAACAAAATTTAAACGTGTGACTTGCTGCCATGGCACAAGCAACAAAAAATAGCAAAAAACCCAGTAACTTTGACATCACGACCTACCAAATGATTAGAGAGGTGGTATAAATATATTTTACGTAGATGCATCTGGCGGCCCCCACACATACATACACCATGCAATACAACAAGAGTGACTAGTGAGGTATGGCGTCCTCCCGAAACCAAAGCAGAGGCGCAGCTAGCAATTATAACAACAATTCGTCATCGTGTACACTTGCTTTTAAAACACTTACTTTTTACTTCTATGCACAGCGTACTATTCATCCATCCATACTGAATAGCTCATCATCATCCGCCGTAACAACAGGTTTGCTAAGTGGGCTCTGTGCGTGCCAGTTCCGGTTGCCAGGCGTGCCACGCTGGATACCTAGCGGTGAGCCTTGTGTTGGCGAATGCGCCAGGCCGCTGTTCAGAGGCGACCGCGACGTTGCGGCAGCGGAGTACGACAGGCGCGAGAACATCGACTCCAGGCCTGCCATCGAGGTCGAGAGAGGCATTCCTCCCACATCTGCAGCGGAAAGATGGTCACCCTGGGTGGCAGAGCCCCCAACCCAATCCTGGTTGAGGGAGTATGGGTTGTTGTTGGAGCCAGGGCTGAAGGCTGCGGCAGAGGAGGGCGACATCGTCATTGGGAGTGCGTGGATACGGGAGTAACCTGCCGCAAGCCCCTGCGGCAGACTCTGCCCCGGTGCGTGCGCTTGCAGAGCTCGGATGGAGGGGGAAATAGCAGCTGGACGCTCTTCACCCTCACCAAATGGAATAGGCCGTCCAGATGCATGCTCATCGAACGGCGTACGATGACCACCGAGAGAACTGATCCGCGGGGGGGAGAATGAGGTTGGGGGTGGATTCTGAGGGGTGGCTGGCTGTAGGGGGGATCCAGCAGGTCGGCCAAGACCAGAAGTGGAACGCTGAATGCCACTTGGCTTTGAGTTAAGGTAATACTGGTGTAAAGAAGGGAGAAAAGCGGCCGAAGCATTGGATGGAGAAAGAAGGGAAGAAGATGGGTTCACGTCTTCATTAGTGAAGGAGCGACCTCCGAAGCCGCTTGAGGATTTGAATGAACTGGGTGTCCCGACTGCGAGATTGAATCCATGAGATGTGTCAGGAGAGCCAGGAAGGCCTCCGGTCCGCTCTGCCCAGATAGACTTTACGTCACCGAGGAGAGAGGTGGCAGGCACGGAACGTGAATAATGGTGGCGGGAACCCTCCGCTTGCGAATGTGCAGTGAGGAAGGGAGGGTCAAGACCAAGACCATTGTTGTGTACCTGAGTAGGGCGGACAGAATTCGTACGCGACATTCTGCGAGAACGTTCCTCGGGGGTCAAAAGGTCATTAAGGGAGCTTGGCAAGAACTCCTCTAGGTCTTCGTCTTCGACAGCAATCTCGTGATCGAGACCACGCATATTAAGACTTCCGTCCCCACGATTGACAACTTGCGAGGGGACAGGACCAAGCTCTGTCTTCCACGTGCCAAGAGATGCGGCGAGCCCGGAACGATGTTTCGTGTCCAGTATCGAGGGTTTGGCATCATAGGATTGGAATACAGTCTGAGACTGAGCAGGCAGCGTGGATGAGACTGGAGCAGCAGCAGGCGATGTGCCGGGTGAAAATCCATTGGCAAGTCCAGTGCGGGGAAGGGAGCCACGTGGCGGGGATCCGATGGGACCAAGATCCGCGGAATCTGTGGGACGATGTGATAGACCTGGACGTCGCGTACTAGGCATGCTGAGGGGAAGTGTTGGTGGGGAGGGACTTTTGCAGTCTTCCTTAAACTCGCTAGCTTGAGCGGGTGCTGGTGACTCGGGTTCGAGTGGTGGCGTAGGTCGTCTCTGAAGAGGTGCTGCTGGCAACTTTTCCGTATCATCTGGGAGTGAGAATGAAGCGAAATCGGTATCTTTGAGGGGTGGGGCGGGTGCGGATGGGGAAATTGTGGCCTTTAACGGCATGGAAATTGGGGGACGAGAGGAAGCGCTGAGAGACCTCGTAGGAGCTGTGGAACCGGAAAGAAGACTTCCACGAACATTCCCCGCGGCGGAGGCGCCTCCTGAACCATTATGCGCATGAGGATCTTTCCTGACACTCCTCCCTACTTTTGAGCTATCTTTTGGACCACCACCTCCCGCAGCGTTAGCAGCGAGCTGAGCCGACTTCTTATTTTTCCTGTCCATAGACATACTCTGGCCAGGAAGAACATGTGCTAAAGCACACTTGTGGCCAAACTTGCAGTTTCCTTTGACGAACCATGCGCAGACGTCCTTCTGCTGGCCAGGCTCTTGGACGTTATGGGAGAATGGACAAGAAGAGCCTGCTGTGCAAGCGCCGACCTTGAAAAATTTACAAGGTACATGAGAGAGATCTTTGGCTAGAAGAGAGAAGATTAAGTCTAGGAGGGGAAGAGGAGAGGAGAGTTATAGTACACTTTGAAGAAGACTTTGACTTGTGAGATTTGTCCTTGTCCTTGTCACGGTCAGAATCTGGATACCTCTCAGCCTCATGCTCTGAAAGTTTTTCAGAATCCAATTTTTCGTTAGAAGGCATGATCGAAGGGGATTGAAATAAAGAAGGGAGGGGGAAGGAGGAGCACGGGACGAGTAGGAGAAAACCTGGGTTAGAAGGTGCCTTGGCAGGTCCTTGGAGATTGCTCGTTAAAGGAATTAAATTATTATCATATTGATTGATAAGCCATCAACAATATTAGCCGGTTAACCCCCCTATCTTCTGCCCGATCTCAACCCCCCAATATTAACCTTGTTATTGTTCAGTATCATGTAAGTATTGTCCATCTATCTGGTCATCTATCTTCCGTGAACTAAATTGCAGACCATGGATCTCTCTCTTGAGGATTTTTGTGCCGATAAATCTTACCGGGTTCTCGAGCTCATCGGAGAGGGAGCATACGGTATCGTCTGGTATTGTTATATCCTGTCTGCGTATTACAAGTCAACTGCTCACTTTCCTCTCAGTTCAGCAATACATCATCCTTCCCAACGCAAAGTAGCTATAAAACGCATAGCGCCATTCGATCATTCCATGTTTTGCCTTCGAACATTACGCGAGATAAAGCTTCTTCGTCACTTTCGTCACGAGAATATCATTTCCATCCTCGATATCCTCCAACCTCCAAGTTTCGATCAATTCAGAGAGGTATACCTCGTTCAGGAACTCATGGAAACCGACCTACATCGCGTCATACGTACACAGCAACTGAGTGACGACCATTGTCAGTATTTCATTTATCAGGTACGTTGCAGAATACATATACGCCAAGTATAAGCCTTGGTACCGAACAATTTCCCTTCTTTCTAGGCATTACGTGCCTTGAAAGCACTCCATTCCGCAGATGTTCTCCACCGAGACTTGAAACCTTCCAATTTGTTATTGAATGCCAATTGCGACCTCAAGGTACGTACCGTCAACTTCATGTAACGTACGTGCACAGCTTTAAACACCCCTTAGGTATGCGACTTTGGTCTGGCTCGTTCAGCCCGACCGCCGCCAAATGTTGCTAATGATAGTAGCACTTTCATGACCGAGTATGTCGCGACTAGGTATGATCGACTATCAATTCTCCACAAAATTTGTCATGACCAACCCGGCATCTTAAGATGGTACCGTGCACCTGAGGTCATGCTTACCTTCAAAGAATATACTCGTGCGATTGACATGTGGAGCGTCGGCTGTGTCCTCGCCGAAATGCTTAGCGGGAAACCTCTATTTCCCGGACGTGATTGTATGATTTTCCCCTTCATCCCTTGCCCAGTTACTCACGCTTCCTAATCCTCGTTGCCACATCAAGGTAAGTATAATCCAAATCATGCACACATTTTATGAACCCCGTGTCGCCCCTCAACCTTGTTAAATTAGATCACGACCAGCTATCAATTATATTAGACGTCCTTGGCACACCCTCTATCGATGACTTCTATGCTATCTCTTCCCAGCGATCAAGAGAATACATCCGTGCACTGCCGTTCCGCAAGAGCAAACCATTTTCCCAGCTGTTCCCAGCCGCCAACCCTCTTGTGAGTTGTCACCCCATTTCCCGACATCTGACATCTTTGTCCACAACAACTGAGCCATTATTTTCCACAGGCAATAGATTTCTTAGAGAAATGCCTAACATTCAGCCCAAGACGACGGATAACTGTCGTCGAGGCTTTACAACACCCTTACTTCGAAGTCTGTAATTCCTTCTCAATCATTTTCCCGCTGACCACACACGCGACAGCCTTACCATGACCCTGATGACGAGCCCGTAGCCGACCCCATTGATCCCTCATTCTTCAACTTCGACAACGGCGAGGCTCTAGAAAAAGAGGATCTCAAAGGTACGCCGAGATGCCACTGCATTGTGTCCATTCGTTGAGAGAAGCTTCAGTACTTATTTACAAGGAAATCACAAATGCGCAAGCATCCCAGTCATCACTCTTGTTGGCTAAAGATGCCTAAATGTATTCGATATTGATACCCTCTAGTGTAGCGTCGTATTCAACGGACCTGATGTATGTGGCACAATATCACATGGATGTAGCAAGAAATTCGAAGGCTTGACACGGGAGCTGCTATTCAGGCATCTGGAGTGCTACGCATGGCAGTGAGTATGTGGAGTGGACAAAATATTACCTTCACGTACTCGGCTCCATGAGGTTCTTGTAGATGCCTGATGAGCCATTCAACCATAGCACCGCGCTAATTTCCTTCGCATTGTTAGCATAGGTTGATAATTCATACTTCGTCGGTGACCGATTTTGGGCGTTCTTATGGAATGCATTCTCTGCATGCGCAAGTCC